TTTCGCAGCTTTACTGGGCCTACTACGCAACTGTATTTCAATACTGTTCATTATGGTGGTACTTAGAAGGACAATTGTTTTCTGAGGTGGTACTTGATGAAAAAAGTTTGAGAACCACTGTCTTAACAAAAATAAAGAAGAGTATAGAACAGGGGCGCTACTAGCCGGTACGGGTCCTATGGCAACATTTTGTGGGTGTCGCGAAAAGTGAAGAGCATGGTGGTTCCCTAATAGTATCTCTGGGGGCCCCAAAATGGCATGGGCCCTTAGAACCATCCTAACTTTCCCCTGCCCAGCGGCACCCCTGGTATAGAATATAAAGTCATGTTGCAATGGAAAAAAAATTATATTATGTATGACTCTCATGAGTTCATACATACAGGTAGTGTTTATATCGTGTCTGTGTCAAATACAAAAATGTGAGTTTGTTTTGAAAAACAAAAATCAAATGATGTCACACGTGTGTGTGTGTGTGTGTGTGTGTGTGTGTGTGTGTGTGTGTGTGTGTGTGTGTGTGTGTGTGTGTGTGTGTGTGTGTGTGTGTGTGTGTGTGTGTGTGTGTGTGTGTGTGTGTGTGTGTGTGTGTGTGTGTGTGTGTGTGTGTGTGTGTGTTAGGGTTGGGCATCTAAGCTATAATGCCGATCCGATACGCATCTCGATACAAAGAATACGATCCGATATATTAGCGATACATTTGTGACATATTGCGATGCAACACGATACGATTCACACCCATATCACGATACGATGCGATATTTCAGCACTAACTAATTAGATCAAGTTTATGAGATTATGTGAAAGAGGATGCTGTGCCATTGAATGAGTTTGATTATTTATTAACCAAGCAAAACCAAGACTTTTTTTTACAAACTGGCTTTTCTCTCAGAGCCAGAGTGTCAGTTTACAGTAGAGGGCCATTTTAGAACATATAGCACATATTATTTAAGTATTTTCAAGATAAACAGAATGTATAAGTGCAATATATATTAAAAAAATATGTATATATTTGCACTCTTTCAACATAAATAAAATTAGCATTGCACAACAAGAATTGTGATTTAACTTTTCAACTATGAAAACAAGTTTTACAAAGATATATTTTGCCACTGATTATTCAAAACTTAAGGTCGTGAACTAGCAGTGTTATGCTGCTTTGAAACATCACTGTCACTGTAAACAACAGGCTAATAAAAATATAACAAACCAGCAATCTTCTTGCTGTGAGGTGGTCAAACTACCCACTGTGCCACTGTGACACCCAATTATTTTTATCATTATTATTATTAATATTATTATTATTATAATTAAATAAAAATTAACAGGAGGAGGTGTTTAAAACCTTCGTTCTCCGTGACACTAGGCTGAATATCTTTGCAGATGAACAATGCAATAGCATTCGTTATTGGCGTAGAGCGAGCAGAACTGTTGCGCATGGAAAAAAAAACTTTCAATGCTTTTCTCACCACTTTTGGAGCTGGTTGAAGCAGTGCGAAAGCCGGGGATGCAGAAACACTGGAAGATGCTTTCACAACAACACCGTGGCGCCGCTTCAAGTGAGATTTCAGATTAGTCATACTGCCCGCGTATTTTACAGATGCGCGGCACATTTTGCAAATTGCATCTGTCCTGTCATGTCGTCCATCCTTAAATCCATAATGTTGCTTGCCATACTTTAGATTTAAAACTCAGTGGGGAATAAAATGTTTGTTTTGCTTCTCGCGCTTTCTGAGGGCGCACCACTAGCTTCATCCGCACACCTGATACACTGAGTTGTAGTGTGTGCACATCCGCAAATCCGTTGCTAAGGCTTACTTTATGTAGGTCGATTAAATTATGCGCCAAAAACAGGTTGACAACACTTGTTAATAAATAAAAAATACATTCTATATTAAAAATATAAGCTGTATCTCGGAAAAATCGATGCATCTCGCAAAAACCGATGCATCTCGATTTGCTTCCAAAATTTCATTCATCCTCTGCTGCTCAACCGATGCACTCGCATCGTGAACGCGCATAACCGCGTATCGATACATATCGGTTAATCTTCCCATCCCTAGTGTGTGTGTGTGTGTGTGTTACATGCACATAGCATCTATGCCATGTGTGAGTACTTGCCAATCAAAACATCATACAATATCATACGTCATACAAGTTTCCTTATGAAGTGACATTCCCAAATGCTGTTCTGGCATGCATAGTGACAGTGTATTATTTGTCAATATTATTTTGACCTACTTAATTGGTAGACAGGACCTTGTACACATGGAACCGAAAAGCAGACATATATAAAAATAAAATGACCTCCCTATACGAGTCATGAGAAATACTGTGTAACCTTATTCTAGAGGAAATGAAAATCATCTGCACTGTTAATGAACATTTTGTGATTCACAAGTTTATAATTGTGAATTCCATAATGGGACGTTGATCTCTGCTCTGTCGACTTTTGGTGTTAAAAATTACAACTCTACTCTTTAACAAAGTGACTTTTATTGACATTTTAGTAGTTTTAAATAATATATTACATTATAAAAACTTTATAGAGAGAGAAATAAGTCTGTAAAATAACAGAAAATGTTCTGGCAGTTTATTACATAATTTTTGTAGCATAATACACGACACCAACCCAGACAATATTTCACTTTAAACTATTAAAAATGTTCATAAAAGTCACTCTTTTGAAAGATCAAGGTCCCGTAATGCAATTCAAACGCATATATAAATGAGGAAAAATAAAAACATGAATCACAAAATATGTAAAACTGCTAATTTACGAATATTTTTAGTTACAGTGTAATTTAAAAAAAAGATTCTGCTTGTCTTTTGAGAGTGATATATCGTTTCGCATGTTTTAATTTCGTGAAATACACTCACCGGCCACTTTATTAGGTACACTGTCCGATTGCTCGTTAAAGCAAATTTCTAATAAGCCAATCACATGGCTGCAACTCAATGCATTCATGTAGACATGGTCAAGACGATCTGTTGCAGTTTAAGCCGAGCATCAGAATGGGGAAGAAAAGGTGATTTAAGTGACTTTGAATGTGGCATGGTTGTTGGTGCCAGACGGGCTGGTCTGAGTATTTCAGAAACTGCTGATCTACTGGGATTTTCACGCACAACCATCTCTAGGGTTTATAGACAATGGTCAGAAAAAGACAAAATATCCAGTGAGGGGAAGTTCTGTGGGCGCAAATGCCTTGTTGATGCCAGAGGTCAGAGGAGAATGGCCAGACTGGTTCCAGCTGATAGAAAGGCAACAGCAACTCAAATAACCACTCGTTACAGAAGAGGTTTGCAGAAGAGCATCTCTGAATGCACAACCTGATAAACCTTGAGGCGGATGGGCTACAGCAGCAAAAGACCACATTGGGTACCACTAATGTCAGCTAAGAACAGGAAACTGAGGCTACAATTCACACAGGCTCGATTTCTTCTGCAACATTCGAGTGAAGGGGTCAGAATTTGGCATTAACATCATGAAAGCATGGATCCATCCTGCTTTGTATCAACAGTTCAAGCTGGTGGAGGTGGTGTAATGGTGTGGGGGATATATTCTTGCCACACTTTGGGCCCATTAGTACCAATTGAGCATCGTGTCAACACCACAGCCTACCTGAGTATTGTTGCTGAACATGTTCATTGCTTTATGACCACAGTGCACCCATCTTCTGATGGCTAATTCCAGCAGGATAATGTGCCATGTCATAAAGCGTGAATCATCTCAGACTGGTTACTTGCACATGACAATGAGTTCACTGTACTCAAATGGCGTTCACAGTCATCATATCTCAATCCAATAGAGCAGGGGTTCTGGCCATGGGACCCACATTTTTACATGGTCATCAAGCCGCGACCCAATTTTTTAGGAACTATAATACAATTTTAGGAATTATACTTAATTTGTATTTATTTGTTAACATAAACAAGTAGTGACAGATACATCATAACAAATTTACCAAGACTCACAAATAAACAATATTTTATTGCAGTAATTTAACATAATGGATCATTTTATAGAAATATTACAAAGTAAAAATGACAAATACTGTTAATAATAAACTTTTAATAAAACATGTTTTCTGGTTTCTAAATGTCGTTTAAATTTAGAAGGTTTCATGCTCTCTTATGAGAGCACCTCACTACATATGATACTAAGGCTTTAAGTCTTTTTTGTCGTCAATAGATATATGCATACTTTACATATTCGGGGTCGTACTTGCGCGTTGACATATTTGTTGCAATAGTTAAATTAAATTTCACATGTTAAACAGTACGGTTGTCGCGCACGTATTTCAAAACAAAAGTCAAGTCAAGTCAACTTTATTGTCAATCAAACCATGCAACAGTACATTACACAGCAGACTGAAATTGCGTTTCTCCCATACTCCAATGTGCAATTTAAAAACAAAAATATGACACACACTAGACATAAACTAAACATTTAACTAATATAGTACAAGATGAATTAAATAATAGACACTAATAAACTGTGAACAGTTACCATATATCCTATTGTTCCAGAATATGACCAGAATATGACCAAAAGTCCGGTATAAGCCAAAAAAAGTTTTAAAAAAAAATGAACTTTTGTTGTTTTTATTGACCATACACTCCGTGACCCACTGAAAATGTCCCCACCAGTTGAGAAACACTGTAATAGAGCACCTTTGGGATGTTGTGGAACGGGAGATTCACATCATAATTGTGCAGCCGACAAATCTGCAGCAACTCCGAGACGCTATCATGTCAATATGAACCAAAATCCCTAAGGATTATTTCCAGTACCTTGATGAATCTATGCCATAAAGGATTAAGGCATCTCTGAAAGCAAAAGCAGGTCCAACTCGTATTGGTAAGGTGTACCTAATAAAGTGGCCGGTGAGTGTATCTAAAGGGATTTTCTTTTATTACAAAAACATCACGCCATTATCACCATCCTAATAGAACAGGTTATATACAACTGTGATTTGAGAAGAAACTGCGTATTTAGTTTTTACCTTACTAAGTATGAAGGTGTTCAGGTAGGGCATGTACCCTTGCGTTGACACCGGTCCTTCGTCGTCATCTTTAAAGTGCTCCTCCAGGGCTGAAGTGTTATGAGGGATCTTCAGTATGGTGCACAGGTTATGCGACAGAACCTGCAGAGTGAGAGAGACAGATGTAGCAATTATAAGACTGATAATAATTATATTGTTTATGTTTAAAGGAATAGTTCACCCAAAAATTGCAGCCATGCAACATTTACTCACTCAGGGTTCAACAATAAGGACTGCCCAATGGCCCGGGGCCAGCATGAGGGATGCTCGGGACAGTAGACAGAATCCTTACTGGCCCGATCGGGGCAGTGCTGCCTTGTCACTAAATTTTATTAGACGTCAACATAACCGTTAACACTAAATTATGAGGCTAAAAGAAAACGTCTGCTTCTAACTTTGTGGAAACATTTACATGAGTACAACACGACGAAAAAAATGAAGGGATGTTTTGCTTAGTTTGCCGTCACTTTTAAGTCATACTCTATATTTTACTGCTAAATATTTTAATATTTTTCAAATATTTGAATTCTAGATTCACAGACAATATTTTGTGACATATTATTTAATAAATGTGGCTAAGAAATAGCAATTAACTTTTTAATTAATTAATTAAATTTTTTTTTTTTTTTTGGGGCCAGTAAAAATTTTGGCAGGGCAGGTAAAAATCTGAACCACTGGTCCAATTGGGCCATTAGGAAAAATCCTTGGCGTTGAACCCTGTCACTGTTTTCAATCTTTAAGAGTTTGCTTCTTCTACTGAACTCAAAAGAAGATCTTTTGAAAAATGCTGAAAACCGGTAACCATTGACATCCATAGTATTTGTGATCCAAACTACATGTGGGATGGTGACCATCCCACAAATAGTTTGAGTCACAAACCCTATGAAAATCGCAAAGACTTGTTTATGTTTCACTTTTTATGTTTATTTCTATTTATATGTGTGTATAAATAGTATTTAAATGACTTAAATGCATTTATATTGAGTTTGCGCTGAACAGTTCAGCTGCATTTTCACTATAAATGCATTTAAGTCATTTAAATACAACTTACATACACACATATAAATAGAAATAAACAAATAAAAGTGAAATATAAACATATAATTTACTTTGTAACCCAAACTATATGTGCGATGGTCACATATTTGCTTTTGGAAGTCAATAATTAGGCTACAGTTTTCTAGCTTTCTTCAAAATATCTTCTTTTAAGTTTTGGAACCACTTATGTAAGGGTAAACAGTGAGTAAATGTTTATTTTTGGGTGAACTATCCCTTGAAGTGTGTCCAGCACGGTTTATAAGAGACTGAATCTGCAAAATGTGTCGAATATAGAAAAATTACATGACCTTTCTGCTTTCTATAAGGATAAGATAATGTCGGTGTATCCTGATGGTTTTTTGTCTTCTTTTAGATAACACTATACCAATGTTAAATCTATATTTGATGTAATAGCCCTGATTTTGAAAATCACAACAAATGTGACCATCCCACAAAAAGTCTGGGTCACAAATGCTATGGAAGTTGGGAACACTGTTTATATTTATCATATATATTTCACTTATATATGTTTATTTCTATTTATATATGTATATAAGTTGTATTCAAATGACTTAACTGCATTTATAGTGAGTTTGCGCTGAACAGTTCAGCTGCATTTTCGCTATAAATTCCTTTAAGTTATTTAAAAACAACTTATGCGCACATTTTAATAGAAATAAACAAATAAAAGTGAAATATTTCTATATAAGGTACTTTGTGACCCAAACTATATGTGCGATGGTCACATATTTGGTCAATGGTTAGGCCACAGTTCTTTAGCTTTCTTCAAAACATCTTCTTTTAAGGTTTGGAACCACTAATGGAAGTTAAGTTTGGGTCACAAATACAATGGAAATTGGAAAGACTATATATATATATATATATATATATATATATATATATATATATATGCTGTATTTAAATGACTTAACTGCATTTATAGTAAGTTCGCACGGACAGTTCAGCTGCATTTTTACTATAAATGCATTCAAGCTATTTAAATACAACTTATGTGCACATATAAATAGAAATAAACAAATAAAAGTGAAATATATACATATAATTTACTTTGTGACCCAAACTATATGTGGGATGGAAACAAATTTGTTTTTGGAAGTCGATAAATAGGCTAAAGTTTTATAGCTTTCTTTAAAATATCTTCTTTTGTGTAAAAAGAAAGCTTTGGACCACTTATGGAAAGGTAAACTGTGAGTAAATGTCCTTTTTTGAGTTAACTATCTCTTTAAGCGTGTCCAGCAGTTTATAAGAGATGAAATCTGGAAAATGTGGTAATTTGAAGAAATTACATGACCTTTCTGCTTTCTATCGAGAAAAAATAGGGTGAATTTGAGTAATATGGGACATTTTTGTAAATTTGACTTAAGGTATATCCATTTCAATGTCTAACTAATTAAAGCAACACATTAGACTATTATAAGATAATGTTGTCGTGATTGTTTTTGCGTTCATTTCAATATTAACATTCTGAATGGAAAAAGTGCGATAAAACACAATATAATAAAATAAAGAACGGGTGTGTCCCAAATTTTTACGGTTACATATTTTAACATAATTAAACAATAGGGAACTTCCCAACTTCGGTGCATATCCATTTAAATACACTTCTTGCAAGACTGACCATGCGTTAATGAGACATTTAGTACACAAATTATATCCGTTTCTGTCTCACAGTATCTTCTTAAAACATGACATTGAAAATACGCCTAGTTGATGCAGCTAAATACATACAACACTAACAAGAATATTAAAATTACAATGAATACTGTTACAAATAACACGAGTAAATCACTTTATTGACTAACTTTACTCTCAAACGCTTGACTTGTACTACACGGAAACTAGCTGTGCCCGCGAACAGGTGCGCGCGCTCTGATTCCTGAAGTAGCTAGATTAAAGAGTTTTCTTACCTTTAACTGGGATTTGGATACTTTTCCGTTTCGGTCAAGATCCAGAGCGGTAAACGCGTACCATATGGGTTTGAGTATTTCTTCCTTGGAAATCATTATTTGCAGAATAATATTGAAAGATGTCAGGGAGCTGAAAAACTGATCCTTTCACAGTCTGTCAGTCAGCGGCAGTGCGACAACAGAAACAGGAGTCACGTGACCACCAGCTGAACTCCAGCTTTACATACTTGTTTGGTATTCTGCAGGGATTTCATGCTTTATTAAACAAAAACACAGTCACATATGAAGTATGATATGTATAGCTGTATCACATAAAGTAGCCTTTATGCTTATAAAACACACTGAAACAAACTGACAGTTTCGTTTCCTGATGAATGTAAAATAAAAACAACCCGAGTAAACACTTAAGTGTGGATCACTGCTTTTTTTTAATCAAGTTTTCTGAAATCCTGTGGTGTGCATTAATTTAAAGAAATAGTTCTTTTAAAGATTTCCCAGTGATGGGTTGAGGCTGGAAGGGCATACGCTGCATAAATATGCTGGATAAGTTGGTGGTTCATTCCGCCGTGGGGACCTCGGATTAATAAAGGGACTAAGCTGAAGGAAAATTAAATAAAATAAGCTGCAGGTCATTTAAAAGAATCTTGTTTTTAAAAAAAACTTGATATTGGAATAACGGTAACACAATAACAGTACATGAATAAGGATGTATTAGTTTATTTTGAATTAATGATGAGTTAAGGTATGCACTAATCATGAATTACCTTTAACTCCAATATGAGTCACAAGAGTTCATGTGTGAAAGACTGCTACCTTAATTACTTGTTTGTACATGATTGTTTGTTAATTAATGTATTAGTTACTACATTAGATTATGCTTAATGAACTCATTATATGTTAATGTATAATTATGTTGTGACTTTACTTAGAGGGGCTATTTATGAACTCCTTATGCACGTCCAGCTAGTGAGTTACACTGAATAACAATAGTAAAGTGTTCTGTCAACATCAACATGAACAGGAGTTCATGAGTACTTAAGGATGAGTTAATAGTGATGTGCCCCTCCAAGTAAAGTCATGACATAACTATGCATTAACAGCTCATGAGTTCATGTTGGTTACATTTAGCTTAAACTTAAATGTTAATTAATACATTAATTAACAACATGTACTAACAAGTAATTAAGGTAGTCGTCATTTACACATGAACTCATGTTGTAGTTAAAGTTAATTCATGATTAGTGCATACCTTAATTCATCATTAATTCACAATAAAGTAATGTTTAGTTTACATATTATTCATGTACTGTTATTGTAAAGTGTTACCGGAATAACTTTGGTCGCAACACAACCTTAACACAAGTATTAAATGGTTCAATCAAGAAACAAAAGATTTTTAAACACACAATCCACAATGAATCTGGAAATCCTTATACTTTTACAATAACCGCCTGTTCCATCTATAAATAGAAACGAATGTAGATGTACTTAAATGTCATCTATTGTTACGTGTTAATGTAACAGGCATTTAAAACAATTATAAACATTCTGCTGGATTGGCTGCATTGCATTCATAAACGGCTCACTGTCATCCGAGATACTTTATGGTAGTTTCCCTTAGTCCTGAAAAACAGGTCGAGAGCTTGACTTACAAAACCAACATTATGGATACAGAAGTGTAGCTACAAAAGGGGAAGTTCAATGAAAAAAATATATATATCTAGAACTACAGGAATTTGTTGACAGCTTTTTGCCCTCAAGTCAACTTACAAACAGGTTCTAGAGACAGCATTGCTTGTCACTGAGCTTTCATTTTCATATATTAGAGAATTACTGTTTTAAAGTACTACAGTCAATTTCCAAAGCATTTCTTTAGCTGGAATAAAAAGGCTACAACTCAATAATAAAACAAACATTTTATTTTGCCATTTAAAGGGTTCAGTCTTACCTTTTTTATGGCCTTGTCAGAAAATGTTGGTCCTCATACCTTGAGTAGAAAACTCAAAGTGGCTGTGTGATCGAGAATGCTTTGGACAGGCTTCACCTACATATTATAAATTTAAAGTAAATTCTACTTATACAAAGTCTTGTTATCATTTATGATAACACATAAAGCATTTAATTGTATAATATATATATATATATATATATATATATATATATATATATATATATATATATATATACATATATATATATATATATGTATATGTATATATATGTATATGTATATATATATATGTATATGTATATATATATATATATATATATATATATATATATATATATATATATGTGTGTGTGTGTGTGTGTGTGTGTGTGTGTATCTGCAACAAGTAGGTTACTGACATATTAAGTGCGGTTTATTTATAAACTAATTTCGAGACGATCCAGTGCTTATGATAGATCATGGCTGGTCCCGCATCAGCTTCACATATCGTGCCAATCAGATGAATACTAACTCACTATATAATAACCAGTTTTTTTTTTACTTCAGTGATCTTCGTCTTGAAGAATCCCTCCTTTCACCCCTTTGTCTGATAGGGCGGCATGGCAGCCCAGTGGTTAGCACTGTTGCCCCACAGCAAAAACGCTACAAGTTTGAGCCCTAACCGGGCTAGTCAGCGTTTCTGTGTGGAGTTTGCATGTTCTCCCCATGCTCGCGCGAGTTTTCCCTGGTTTCCTCCCACCGTCTAAAGACATACCATATACAGTTGAAACCAGAAGTTTACATACACTCTATTTAAAAAAATGTCTGTGTCGATCATACAAACGTTTACTATTTTAGGTCCGTTAGGATTACATAAATCATTTACATCTGCTAAATGCCAGAATAATGAGAGGATTTTTTTTGGAGAATTTTTTATTAATTTCTAGACAGTCAAAAGTTCACATACATTTCCTTGGTGTTTTTTAGCTTTGCTTTTAAACTGTATAACTTTTGTCAAATGTTTTGAGTTCCTTCTACAAGCTTCTAACAATAGTTTCAAGGAATTTTGGCCCATTCCTCCTGACAGAATGGGTGTAACTGAGTCAGATTTGTAGGCTGTCTTGCTCGCACAAGCTTTTTCAACTGCGCACAAATTTTTTTATAAGATTGAGATCAGGGCTTTGTGATGGCCACTCCAACACATTCACTCTGTTGTCTTTAAAGCACATTTTAACTAAGTTGGCAGCATGCTTAGGGCCATGGTCTGTTTGGAAGACTCATTTGTGGATAAGTTTTAATTTCTTGGCTGATGTCTTGAGATGTTGCTTCAGTATTTCTACATAGTGTTCTTTCTTCATGATGCCATCCATGCTGTGAAGTGGACCAGTCGCTCCTGCAGCAAAACAGCCCCACAATATGATGCTGCCACCCCCATACTTCACAGTTGGGATGTTGTTCCTAGTCTTGTAAGCTTTCCCCTTTGTCCTCCAAATGTAACACTGGTCATTATGGCCAAACAGCTCAATCTTAGTTCCATCAGACCACAGGACATGTGTCCGAAAATGTGTCTTTTTTCCCCAGTGTAATTTAGCTAATTGTAATTGGCTTTTTTGTTGATTCTGGCTTGTTGATTTCCCTATGTTGTCACACAATGAAGCAGTGTGTTTGAGGTTTTCCTTAAGTACTGTTGAACTAATGAACTCAAATGTTGTCAATTAGCCAATCAGAAACTTCCAAAACCTTGACACCATAATCTGAGCTTTTTCAGAGGCATGATAATCTTATTGTATGTAAACTTGACTTTCAAGAAAAGTTATAACAATGTCTCAAAAATATCTCTCTCATTATTCTGCTATTAAGCATAACAGAAACAAATTTGATAATCCTAACTTGCCTAAAAGAGAAAAAGTTTAGTCATATTAAAATTTTTTAAAATGGTTATGTGCCTTTTTATACAGTGTATGTAAACTTTTGGTTTCGACTATAACTACACTGACTAATCAAAAGTGCCATCATATGGCAAACTCTTAGTCAGCTATATCTCTTAGCTATTTCTAACACATTCACAAACATGGGAGCTCTTGAGACCTAAGCTCAAACTCCCCTCTCGCCCTTCAAATGGGAGGGAGCCCTGGGCTCAAGGATATTCTGAGCTCAGGGCTCTCTCTCAGGGCAGCATAACAAACAAGCTTCATTATCAATCATCAGCTAAGTGTGAACTCTGGAAAGTAAAAAAAAAATTATTTAATGAAAATATTTATTATTGTTTATTACAATTACAAGTCCGCTAAGTAAATTTTCTCAGTGCAGCTTTAAATTGTTTTAAATAATTTTAAAGGTCAATATTTTTGCGAGATTATTGTTTGAATGCGAGAGTGTAGGGGTGTTTCACAGTACTTGGTTGAGGGCGCTGTGTAAAACATATGCTGGAATAGTTGGCGGTCATTCTGCTAAGGTGACCTCTAATAAAAAAGGGAAAAAAAGGGGCTTGCCAAATTAACCCAAACTTAATTAACTGCACTTTAAACTAAATACTGGATGCAGCAAAATAACCAGTAAATTATGTATTGTCATGGCAAAGACTGAGAAAAATTGTTCATTTTCTTTTCAGCTTAGTACCTATATTAATCTGGGGTCGCCACAGCGGAATGAACCGCCAACTTATTCAGCACATGTTCTACGCAGCCCATCACTGGGAAACATCCATACACTCTCATTCACACAGAAACACTACGGCCAATTTAGTTTATTTAATTCATCTATATCGCATGACTTTGGGCTTGTGGGGGAAACTGGACCACCCGGATGAAACCCACACCAACACGGGGAGAACATGCAAACTCCACACAGAAATGCCAACTGACCCAGCCGAGGCTCGAACCAGCGGACTTTTTGCTCTCAGGCGACAATGCTAACCACTGAGCAACCGTGTCGCTGTTTTTATTTTATCTTTATCAAATATTTTCTAAATGCTTTAATGTTTAATCAAAATATTTTAATAATTGTTTTTGCTTTATTTCATTTGTTATTTTGCAAGAAACTAAAATTCAGCTTAAAGTGGCATTTAAAGGCTTAACTGGGTTAATTAGGAAAGTTATTAAACATCAGTGATTTGCTCCATAGACAACTGAAACACAAAGTTTTAGGGGGCTAATATTATTGACCTTAAAAATAATTTAAGGATTTACAATCAAACAAACAGTGCTCAGGGGTAGCTTAAATAATGTGTCAGTGCTCTTTGGGTAAGGGTTTCATCAAAATAAACGGCAAAAATCAGTCCTTTGATTGGCTTTTTTACCAGACAATTCAGATAAAAACATATTACAGGAGATACTGTGAAAATGTCCCTGCTCTGCTAAACATCACTATTGAAAAAGAATAATAATTTCACCAAAAGGCTGATATTTTGGCTTCAACTTCATATTCATCTTTCTGTTTTACGCTAGCTTGTATTATCAGCATAACAATTTGAATGAAATGTTTTCTTGTTGCATGAAAAAATGTGTTTGTTTGTTTTTTTGTATCATTTATCTTGCTTTACTGTCAGCCACGTTTAATCTGACTTGAACCTGAGCTTCTTGTCCTTCAAGCAAAGAGTAAATATCAGGAGTTAAATAAGGGGAAAATATATCACAACAACCTAAATATCACCATCATCAGTTTATTTAAAAAATGCAAACAGGGTTCTGCCATTTAGAGATCTATATCAGTGTGATCAAAATCTGTTAGAAATGCTATTATAGTGCATGACTTGACCTTTGTACAATTGAGGGGAAACTCAGGGGAATTACAAAAGCTGATCCACGAGTTGATGTGATCACTATCCGCACTAAATCCAGTCTCAAGGTGAAGGTGGTTAATCAGCCAGCTCCGCTTCTTCTGCCTGTAATGATGATGCTATTCTCAAAGCTTCTTCCAGCGAAGTCTGTTCACTGAGCTTCAAGAGAAAACACAACACGTATGATAGATGTAATATTTACATGCTCAGATGAAAGATGAAGGTCAAAACTAGACATGGAAATGTTTATTTAATATAAATAATAATGATAATAATAAAGTAAGGATACAATACAGCTGTACTTTAAGGGGTTGTACACGATATTACATTGAGTTAAAACAAGTGCTGCTAAACAATTTATTGTGACTAATTAAATAGAAAATAAAAATTTGAATTTATATAATGTACATGTATTATGCATATTTGATATTTATGAAATACACACACACATATAAATGTATATACTTTAAAATATTTACTGAATTAAAATTTCTGCTGCTAAACAATGAATAGTGACTAATCAAATACAAAATAAGTTTGAATTTACATATTGTATGCATTCATGCTTTGTATATTTATGACAGACGAACGGACGGACGTAGATAGAAAGACCAATAGATAGAATGACAGACAGACAGACGATAGACAGACGATAGATAGATAGATAGATAGATAGATAGATAGATAGATAGATAGATAGATAGATAGATAGATAGATAGATAGATAGATAGATAGATAGATAGATAGATAGATAGATAGATAGATAGATACATAGATACATAAATGCATATTGAATACAAAATAAAAGTCAGAATTTACATAATGTATGCATTTGTGCTGTGTATGTGTGTGTGTGTGTATATATATATATATATATATATATATATATATATATATATATATATATATATATATATATATATATATATATATATAAACACAAATGTACACTTTAAAAAACCTTTATTTTTAATTTATTTGAGTTCAAATTTGTGCCACTAAACAATTGCGACAAATCGAATACAAAAGTTAGAATATACATAATGTATGAATGCATGCTGTGTACATTTATCATGTATATATAAATACAGAGATAAATGTATTTACTTAAAAAATATTTAGATGTATTATTGTTAATATATAATTAGTTTTATATAATTGAATTAATTTGTAAAAATATTATATAAATTTATATATAAATATAAATAAACATTTTCTACACACGTGTCTACAGATTTACATGGAATAATAATAAGTCTACGCAGCAAACAGATAAATATTATGTGAATACAATCTTTTCTTTCATATGCAATTAGTCATTATTAATAGTTAAAACCCACAAGTTAAAATAGAAAAATTGTATTACCATAAACTGTAAAAACAGTGTGATTTTTAAAAAATAAATACTAAATAAATAATTATGTAAATAATGAGTAAAATAAATAAATGAAATCCATAATTTATAAGAAATAAAAGAAACTGATGACAAAATGGTGACTTTAGGTAAACTCTACCTGAACAGCAATCTGTGTGCCATTAGAAGTAGCCAGAAGTGTGATGGGATGTGCTGATAATCCATCCTGTGTGTTCCTAGATGTTAATTCAGGCATCATAATAGTCATCTAGAAACAAAACAACACAAAAATAGCACATGAGATGGGTTCATAAAAGTTCTGCAGGGCCAATAATAAGTAAATAAAGAAAAATAAAGAAAAAAACAAAATAAGTTAGCATTTAAGCACTTCTGGGACCACTTTCCAAAATTCTGTGGATATTTGTGTTTCTAATTAAACACTTGAATAGGATTAAAAAATAAAACAAAGAAAAATGCCTGAAATACTCAACTCAATTTATTTCCAGAGCACTTTCTAGCAAGCACACTGGATACCAAAGTGCTGTACAGAAAACACAAAATACATGCAAACATACAAAGAGCCAAAATACATAAACTCACAACACATGATTAAAAGCTAAAGCAAATAAGTGTGTTTTCAGTGACCTCTGAAATAACTCCAAAGTAGGAGATGTTCTTAAGGAGAGTAGAAGATCTTGGAATTGCTACTGAAAATGCTCTATCACCTTGACATTTCAAGCATGATCGCGGAACTTCTGGGGTGTGTGCAAAGTTTCGTGAGCTTTTGGGCATGTTTAGACCCTCAAAATTGACAGCCATGTCACCCTGCACGCTAAGACCGGTTACTCACTGAAGCTAAGCAGGGCTGAGCCTGGTCAGTACCTGGATGGGAGACCACTAGGGAACATTAGGTTGCTGTTGGAAGTGGTGTTAGTGAGGAGAGCAGGGGGCGCTCAACCTGTGGTCTGCGTGAGTCCTAATGCCCCAGAAAAAGTGAAGGGGACACTACACTGTCAGTGGGCGCCGTCTTTCGGATGAGACGTTAAACCGAGGTCCTGATTCTCTGTGGTCATTAAAATCCCATGGCACTTCTCGTGAAAGAGCAAGGGTGTAACCCCGGTGTCCTGGCCAAAGTCCCTCTTTCGGTCTTATGATCATGGCCTCCCAATCATCCCTTTCCACCGAATTGGGTCTATCACTGTCTCTCCACTCCACCAATAGCTGGTGTGTGGTGAGCGCACTGGTGCCGTTGTCCTGTGGCAGCCGTCGCATCATCCAAGTGGATGCTGCACACTGGTGGTGGTGTGGAGACCCCCCCCCCCCCTCATGATTGTGAAGCGCTTTGAGTGTATGGCCATACACAATAAATGCGCTATATAAAAATACACATTACATTACATTACAAAATTGCGGAAGAAGAATAATAAGCAACAGAGCAATTTCACTAGGGCCTACGCACCATAGGTGCTCGTCCCTAATGATCATGTTGTCTTGCTTACGGAGGTAGATCCTTTTTGGAAATACAATCATATTAGTTGTCAGAGGTAATTTGCCAGATTTGCATGCTTCCATCCATTTTAATTACTTCTAGAGAGTGGATTTAGGCTTGAAAATTCTTTCATTTGTTTTCCTTCGGCTTAGTCTCTATTTCAGAGGTCGGGTAAAGGCTAAATTATACTTCTGCGTCAAACGCCGGCATATGCTACGGCGCTGACGCATAGCCCTTCGCCGTGGCCGTCGCCGTCACTGACGTGCACCTCTCAAAAATTGTAACTACACGTCGCAACGACGCGTAGCGTAAGCTCTGTGATTGGTCGGCTTGGTAGCGCTGACAAGTCTGGGCAGGACCGAGAGCCGCGCGAATGGTGCGAGCAATTGTTTACAAGTGTGGAGTCCCGTGAAGGAGCTCCGGATGGAAAGTTTTGTTTTGTGTTTACTTCATAGTTAAAGTTGTTGCACGTTCCTTTTTGAGCCACTTGTACATCCCGGAAGTGTTCAGGAAAAGCAAAAAAGCAGCGATGAAACTCGACACAGAGGAACATTAACACCTCACTGCCAACTAGCGTTTCGGAAGTGTTAATGCAGACCAACAGAGACAGCGCACAGAAGTATAAATACACAGCCACGCACGTTGCATGCGCCGTGGGTTACGCCGGTCACCTGACGCAGAAGTATAAATCAGGCTTAAGACGGGAAGGGGGACAAGCGTGCTTTGGCCCGGTTCAAAGCAAATGTATATAGTGTGAGTACACCCTAAACTGACACTTTCAGTAATTTTAGCCGACACAATTTTAGCCGACAAACGAGGCTAGTGACTATCTTGTTCTGTACCTATCTTGCTCTGTACCTTACTATGGTGCCTAGTTACCCTGCATGAATTTTTAATTAGCCTACATTAATAACAGTTTATTTTTTATGGTAAATAAATTCTAGGACAGGCAAAAAAAAATGTATAAAATAAGACCTCTGTAACAAAATCCAAGACTTTGTATACAAAATTCAAGGCTATTAAGGCCTTAATTTGAGATGATCAAATTTAAGACTTTCTCAATGCTTTTAAGACCCTGTGGGTACTCTGAAAATAGGTATTAAAAAATAAATAAATGTTTGCTGTCAGGGGAACCTCTAAATGCACACAAATAATTACTAGGTGGAATGTAGTATTGTATTAATTATAAGGAGAACGTTTTATGTGTTGGAAAGAAAACCACACACACACACATGAATTTAACCGTGTGCTTCCTAAAATGTACAGTATCTAAAAGCCTACACACCTGTCTTTCAGTCCCATCCTCTGTGGCTACAGTAACTGAATGAGCCTCCGCTGATGCCAGCAAAGATTCAGTGGGTGGGATGGTGATCATACTGCCATCTTGTGTCACCATAGTGATTGCATTTCCAATAGCCTGTTAAAAAAAAAAATAATAATCACAGAATTTTTCATTTAGCACATAAACTGTTTTTATATTACTGTACGAGTCTGGACAGGGCCTGAAAGTGTAGATCCAAACCTGTGAACCTCCATCCTGTGTGATAAGCGTTACGTGCTGTTGTTCGCTGACATCTGAGATTTCAGAAGTCATTTCAGGACCAGAGTCTTCACACTTCACCGGGCTGACGCTGAGGGACGGGTCATCTATAGCCTCTTTTATTTAAATAAATAAATAATAAAAACAAACAGAAATTCAGCTTGTTAAAAGCTTTAGACAAGGTCAAAACTGAAAACTCTATCATTTACTCATGCTCTAAATGGGTTTGAGTTTCTTTCTTCTGTTAAACACAAACAAGGATACACTGAAGAATGGTGGAAAAAAAATGCCATTGACTTCGACAGTAGTAGTAGTAGTTTTAAGTTCCTACTAGGGATGTCCAGATCTGATCACATGATCGGAAATCAGGTCCAATCACACAGAAACAGCCACGCATATGGCATGACACCCCTTTGTTGCAGAGATGCTATTGGTTAAATGCCAGCAAAGTTGAACAGTAGTAGAACAAAGTAGTATGTCTGCGGTCTGGAGGTACTATAAAGTTGATGACGACAACATTGCCATAGCAAACTCTGAGATATGTAAACTTGGGATTGAAAGAGGTGGAAAGAAGATGAAGTATTAAAAAAGATTTGGAATCCATTTTTGAATTTTTTTTAAAACAGTACCACTTGATTTGATTTGACAAAATGTCTTTTTTCCATTGGTTTATACTGTGTCTCCTCCCTTTTTATTTATTTTTTATTTTACTTATTTATTTTATATACTGTGTATGTTTTAATTTAGTTTGTTTGTTGCTTTGTTTTGATGTTCTGTATTGTTAACTCTTAAAAAAGCTAAATAAAAATATATAATCACAAAAAAGAGGTGGGAAGGAAAAGGCTACATTTAACACAACAAACTAATAAAGTTGTTGAATGTTAAAATGTGGTGAATTAAATAAAAAAATCATTTGAATTAAACCGCTCTTCTTTATTCTTTTTTATGTATTATAGAAGTATCGGATCGGGTTTTGGTATCGGTAGATACTCAAAATCAAATGACTCGGATTTGAGGGCAAACACACCGGATCGGGACATCCCTAGTTCCTACTATGGATCAAAAAGGCCTCTTTTTTCCAACATTCTTCAGAGGATCTTATTTTGTGCTCAACAGACAAAAGAAACAATATGAACTACTTTAGTGTGAGTAAATGATGAGGACATTTAAATTTTTGTTTGAACTGTCCCTTTAAATATTTTCAACATATGACTGTTCAACTCAATTCAAGTTTATTTGTATTGCACTTTTCACAACAATCATCGTTTCAAAGCAGCTTTACAAAAGGTGCACATTATTGCATTACAAAAAATATCTGAAAAGTGATTATTTACCATAACTTTATTAGCTGATAAGTAGAAAGTATTCAGACCCGCTTAAATGTTTCACTCTTCACAACCATTTTCTGGAAGTGTTTATTTTTTTTCCTCATTAATGTACACGCAGCACCCCATATTGACAGAAAAACAAAGAATTATTATAAATCTTTAGCAGATTTTTTTTTAAAAGGACTGAGGATATCACATGGTCCAAAGTATTCAGATTCTTTGTTGTGACACTCATATATTTAACTTAGGTGCTGTCCATTACTTCTGATCATCCTTAATGCCCCATAAACACGGGACTTCAGCGTCAACCCCAAACAGAGGGCGTGTCTGAAGTTGAGGCTGATGTGATTATCATAGCAGTTTCAGCCAATGAGATTAGTCAGCAACAGGCCACTGTCTGAGCTGGTGTATTTGCATACAGTGATCTGATTGGCTGACGCTTACGTCGGCGCTTGAAAAGTTGAGCAAGTCCCAACTTCTGCAGCAAGCAATGCCACTGAATTGGTGCCGACGGATCCACAATGCAGTTCGGTAAGGCCTGATGTCACTCATTCAAAGTGAATAGGAAGCGTTAAGGCTGACGCCCCATGTGAGATTTGAGTCCATCTTTGTTTGATTATACTGATCGGACTTAATTAGTAAAGCCACACACCTGTCTATATAAGACATTACAGCCCACAATGCATGTCAGAACAAATGAGAATCATGAGGTCAAAGGAACTGCCTGAAGATCTGAGACAGAATTGTGGCAAGGCACAGATCTGACCAAGGTTATAAAAAAATCCTGCTGTACTTAAGCTTCCTAAGAGCACAGTGGTCTCCACAATCCTTAAATGTAAGACGTTTGGGACGACCAAAACCCTTCCTAGAGCTTGCCATCACGCCAAAATGAGCTATCGGGGGAGAAGAGCCTCGGTGAGGGAGGTAAAGAAGAACCCAAAGATTACTGTGGCTGAGCTCTAGAGATGCTGTCAGGAGATGGGAGACAGTTGCAAAAACTCAACCATCATTGCGGCCCTCCACCAGTCAGGGCTTTATGGCAGAGTGGCCCAATGGAAGCCTCTCCTCAGTGCACGACACATAAAAAACACCTGAAGGACTCCAAGATGGTGAGAAATAAGATTCTCTGGTCTGATGAGACCAAGATAAAACTTTTTGGCCTTAATTCTAAGTGGTATGGGAGAAGAAAACTCATCATCTGTCCAATACAGTCCCAACAGTGAAGCATGGTGGTGGCAGCATCATGCTGTGGGGGTGTTTTTCAGCTGCAGGGACAGGACGACTGGTTGCAATCCAGGGAAAGATGAACGCGGCCAAGTACAGGAATATCCTAGATTAAATCTGTCTCCACTGTGCTCAGGATCTTAGATGGGGCGAAGGTTTACAGCTAAAGGGGGCTTCACAATAACTCTGTGACTGTTCTTGAATGGCCCAGCCAGAGCCCAGACTTAAACCCAATTGAACATCTCTGGAGAGACGTAAAAGTAGCTGTCCACCGAAAGATTTAAGAGTGCCTGAATACTTTCTATACACACTTTATAAGCATAATAAAGTTAGCCTGCAGTTATATAGTATATAGGTGATGTCATTGTATACATGTTCATTGACTTTGTGTACTGTGTAATTATAATGTGCATGTACGTTTTTCAAAACCAACCTGAAGGTGGCTCAAAATAGCCCTCCATCTCCTCTTCTATAGGCTCGGAGTCGTTGTGTGCGGAGCGCTTGTGCATGACCAGTGTGGAAATCTGCTTGTAGGTTTTTCCACAGTGATTGCACTTGTAGGGTTTGCAGGGAGTGTGCACTACATTATGCTTGTATAGACTTGAGTACTCCGTGAAGCGCTTGTCACAACCAGGAACTGTGCAAACGTACGGCCTCTCACCTGTCATTAATAAAAACATTGTTTTAGGTATTTCATAATGGCTGTTTCTGATATTGCCCTTTTACTATTAATCACTATACTCCAAGACTCTATATCTATATCTATATATTTAAGTGCGCAACATTTTAAATGAACGTTTTATGCAGGAATGTAACTGATATGCTGCAACGGCCACTTTAAATACAAGACCAATGTAGCAAATTCTGACGCTCTCATCGCCGGAACTGAAGGCAGATAGCATTCTCGCCAGGGCGGCCCGAGCAACCTTGGACGCTCTCACTGCTTTCAGTGTGAAAACACAGTAAAGGTTTGGTTTCTGAATTAGTAAATTAGTGATGCAATACAAGTGAATGCCATTTGATGGCAGTATTGCACGCGGTACAATTAGTGCAACCAGTAAAAATAGAACACACTCTCGAATATTTAAATGCACTGAATGACAGACAATGAGTCAGGCAAAAAAAAAAAAAAAAAAAAGACTCTTAAATATTGTGCGTTTAAAAAAGAAAGGACAACAAAATAATTCTTCACCATCATCGGACCGATTGCATTAGGTCTAATATGCCAAGAAAGTATTGCTGTTTTTAAAGACTACAACCTAAGGGGTCGATCACACCGAACGTGTAATTACGTTCCAAAAATGCGAGGTGCACCTCACTGCCTTTTTGTTGACAAGAAAAAAAAGGAGCGCAGTGCGCTTTTTTTATGTGGCTAGGCAATGTTTGAATCAGCTGGGTATTTTGCGAGAGTGTTGCTGTTGATATTAATATAACTTTATTTTCAGGCTCATTGTTCACATTAACACTCATAATAACATGACTTGGAATTATAAAGACTAAGATTCTTTCGTTTTATCCCAGTTTTATAATGATTGATATGAGCATATTAATACAAGCTCAAATGAGATTGTTATGAATTTGACTCAAATTATATAATAATTGCTGGTTAAATGTGTTCATTTTTGTCATAGAATATATTTAATATGCATACATCCACTTTAAAAAGTTCTTTTATCAAAGATTTTATCAAGTTTATGTTGACTGATCTGTATATTCTAAAAGCAGTGTAAATTAGATGATTGTAAATTTGACTGAATAGAATTATTTTAAATGTGTTAATATGAGATTTTTTCTAGCAGTTAATATTTTTTCTATTCTCACTGTAACAATTATTACATTATTATTATTATTATCATTATTATATTTTATAAGGGATTATTTTATTGTTTTATGGTGATTGATAAGTAAATAAAAATAGCAGTGCAAATTAATGTGACTTGTAAATTTGACTCAATAATAACTTTTTAAAAAATCAGTTTTGTGTTAATGTGACGTGCTTCTTTCCGATATTACATGTTCTATGCATACTGCCACTATAAATAAAAGTAATTTTTTGAAGGATTTGACATGATGCCTTTCACTTGGTTCCCAAAACTTGCTGTGGCCCTCGGGTCTAAAAAGTTTGCCCACCACAGCTCTATATAGTAATATCTCTAATAACTAATCATTAGACTCTATATCTAATATACTCTCCACTACACTCAATAAGATGACTTTTGCTGCTGGTTCAAACTACTTATTTTAAATGAGTTGAAACCACACAATTCTTAAGTTATTTTTGGGGCAATTTATTATAAATGGCTAGAGTAATAGAGTATATACACACACACACATCATTATTCACCTTATTCTTTGCGTACGAGCAGGTGCACCAATTGTAATCTTTTTGGCTGGAGACCTCCGGTCATTTTTAGATTTTAAAAACAGCTCTTTATGCTGCTTGATGTTGCAAACTAATATTTTCTTATTATGTTATTCTATTTTGTCTGTATAGTCATGCAAACACTTGTTTGTAGAGCAAGTAGTTTGACTGTTTTCCGCGGTTTATTATTCCTAGTCATTTCTCCCATAGGGAGCTGATTCTGAAGTTCTAAAACAATCGCCAATACAACAGGGCAGCTGAATGCTCGATTCTGATTGGCCGATTAACTGTATAAAGCACAGGTGATAAACTCTGTTCCTGGAGGGCTGCAGCTCTGCATGGTTTAGTTTTAACTCCAACTAAACACACCTGATCAAACTAACTGAGTCCTTCAGACTAGTTTGAAACCTACAGGTAAATGTGTTGGGCTGCGGGAGTTTGACACCTCTGGTCTAAAGGTGTGCAAAAATGTTGATATTTATGCACCGCTTAAGTAGTGCCAGGCATGTTTTGAAATGCATCATGTAAACAATCTCTATAGGTTTGATAACCATTGCATAAGAGTAACTAACTCTGGTCTATTGATTTATTAAAAAGTAATGCACACTCAAGACGTGACTGTGCGTTGTTTTCTAATAAATAAACAACCCCTTGTCCATTATTGCTTGGCTGATGCATTAGGAAGGTCAACACTGACAATTTGCTACTGTATTCATACAACACACCTGTATGGATCCGTATGTGGTTCTTGTAATTCGTTGCGCTGGCAAAGGCCCGATTACAGCCTGGCTCTGGGCAGTGGTACGGTTTCTCTCCTGTGTGCGTGCGAACATGCACTTTACAGATGTTTGAGGTAGTGAAGGATCGCCCACAGCCCGGGAAAGGACATAGAAATGGCTTCTCTCCTTCAAAAATGACAAAAAATAGGTCAGTTGTCAGTCTGTATGAAGTTAATATGACAAATATCCTTTTGACTCTCACATAATTCATATTTTTGTCCACTATTTAGTACCAAACATTTACGTTTTTATAACAGTACACTTACGATTGTTGATGTCATATAGAATAAATGGCAGATTTAACAAATACCCGTGTGTATTCTGGTGTGTTTTTGAAGGTCCCCTGAGGTCTTGAAAGATTTTTTACAGTCCAGCTCCTGACAGCGATACGGTTTTTCTCCAGTGTGTGTCCTGATGTGACTTTTCAGACCATAACCTAGGAGAAAAGTCATTTTAGGTAATGAAATCACAGCAGCAAATGGACTCTTTTCACATTTCCGGTTTCCTCAGCAGCAGAAGTAGTCATAGCTGGATAAACTTAAACTCACTCCTATTATTAATCAAGACTTTCAGAAAAAGGAACAAAAATTGTGTGACACTGATAACAGCAGCCAGAAGAGAGAACAATGACTATGTTTACATGGACATCAATAATCAAATTATTTGCTTAAAGACAATAATATGATTAAGGTGTTTATATGAGTTGCTTTTTGAATGTTGCTTTCGTGATCCCATTTTACATGTTATAGCACATATATCAGGGCTATTGCCCCAGAGGCTGTTTGTTCCGGCCCTCCAAATACTGTGACCAAGACATCAAAAATAAATTTAGTTCAGTCGAAAAACAGCCGCTATAGTAATGAAATGGCGTGCGTCTGTTCAATACAGCATGAGCTGCGAAGGAGCGTGTCACCATAAGCAAGTGGAGCGGGCAGCCGAAAACATTTGGATGTGTTTGTAGAAAAGGCCTTTTGTACTATGCACTGATATCGTCAATAGGGATGCAACGATTTTAGCCATAGTTTCACTATTAACTGCGCTTTAATTCACAGTTAAATAATCGTATAGGCTTCTAAGCCGCGTTTCTGTTGCACGGATTAAAAAACGAAACTGCTACTAGGGTTGTGCCGATAGACGATGCGATCGTCCATCCCCGATGGTCGACAAATTTCACGATGCTGAGCCGGTATCGCCATCCATCGCCTAGCCCCACATTTATATTGATATGTAACTTATTATTTGCATTTCATCTTAATAGCAATAACGGTCTTTTTATGAGCTGTGTTAAATGTTACATAGCTGCCGCTTGCATGGCTGACAGCAACGTGAGGATTAAATGAAGGATTATACAACACCTCTCACGCTTAAAATGAGTAGATTCAGTGCCAAACTTTATTACCTGCAAACCCCGTCCCACAAACTTAACAGTGAATGGCTTTAGTTATTTTCATGGCCAACTTTGAGCCACTGGAAGTCTTTTATCTACTCTTGGAAAAGTGTAAATGGTGGAATAAAATTCAGCACATGTTTACTAGGAAGTTGTGCCATTATTAGTAACTTTAGGTAAATCTGTCAGTGTTATTTTCATTCTCTCATCTTCATCGCTTCACATTTTCGCGGTTGGAGCTCCTGTCATCTGAAAGCAGAAGTCATTGAGTGAGTGATTGACAGCTGATATTAACCAATCATTCGTGTTCACTTCTAGAGCAGTGAGCCAATAAGAGGAGCACAAAGGCGGGGCAAGCATTGCAGACTGTTTTTTACTTCAGCCAGTTCGCATAACAACTGTTTTAATGTTCCTGAGCGCAGCGTTTGGCGTTTTTAGGTGCAAAGATGCATTCTGCATAAATGTCTCCTAAATCAGCACACACGGTGACGATTTTGCAGTGAAAACAATGAAAATGTATGCACTACAGTGAACTCCAACCAAACTCTCGTCCCCTCCACCAGCTGAGGGAAAAGCCATGAGGATGACACAGATCACTGTGCGTACTCATGTAAGAGTCCCGCGGAAAAAAAGTGATTGACAGGTGGTCATTTGTTTGTAACTTTATTTATTTATGGATTGGTTATGGGTAAAGCAAAGACCATGTGGGTCAGGTAGTGAAAACGGTAGGCTACAATTAATTAATTTCTTTATTCATTTTTCTGTCGGCTTAGTCCCTTAATTAATCCGGCGTCGCCACAGCGGAATGAACCACCAACTTATCCAGCACGTTTTTACGCAGCGCATGCCCTTCCAGCCGCAACCCATCACTAGGAAACATCCACACACACTCATTCACACAAACACTCATACACTACGGACAATTTAGCCTACCCAATTCACCTGTACTGCATTTCTTTGGACTGTGGGGGAAACCGGAGCACCCGAAGGAAACCCACGCAAACGCAGGGAGAACATGCAAACTCCACACAGAAATGCCAACTGAGCCGAGGCTCGAACCAGACCTCCGTGAAGTTGGCACCCCATAAAAACAAATAATCCCCAAAACTATGCCATTCGTTTGTGCTACGTTTGTGCTGATTTGTGCCGCAAAAACGAACGTTTGTGCTGGTTTGGGGTCTGAGATATTAAGCATTATTTTTTTAACCGTGTGACGTCACTCTCCACCCCATGTTGCGCAATTGACTTCAAAACAGCACGGGTCGTTTGTGCTCGGTTTGTGCTGGTTTGTGCCGTTAAAACGAACACGGTATCTGTTTTCCTCTTTTAGATATAAGCAAAATATTTCGGGAGCCGTGACGTCACTCTCCACCCCATTTCCTCCAAATTGCACAAAACTGGTATCATTCGTTTGTGCTGGGTTTGTGCTGGTTTGTGCCGTTAAAATAAACACTTTATCTATTTTCGTTGTTTAGATATAATCAAAATATTTCGGGAGCCGTGACGTCATTCTCCACCCCATGTTGTCTAAATCACACCAAACTGGTATCATTCGTTTGTGCTCGGTTTGTGCTGGTTTGTGCCGTTAAAATAAACACTTTATCTATTTTTATTGTTTAGATATTGCCTTATCAAAACATTTCGGGAGCCGTGACGTCACTCTCCACCCCAGGTTGTTTAAATTGCACAAAACAGGTGTCATTTGTTAGTGCTGGATTTGTGCTGGTTTGTGCCGTTAAAATAAACACTTTATCTATGTTTATTGATTAGATATTGCCTAATCAAAACATTTCGGGAGCCGCGATGTCATTCAGCGCCCCATTATTTCCTCTAAATTGCACAAAACAGGTGTCATATGTTAGTGCTGGATTTGTGCTGGTTAGTGCAATAACAATTAACACTTTATCTATTTTTATTGATTAGATATTGCCTAATTAAAACATTTCGGGAGCCGAGATGTCATTCAGCGCCCCATTATTTCCTCTAAATTGCACAAAACAGGTGTCATATGTTAGTGCTGGATTTGTGCTGGTTTGTGCAATAACAATTAACACTTTATCTATTTTTATTGTTTAGATATTGCCTTATCAAAACATTTCGGGAGCCGTGACGTCACTCTCCACCCCAGGTTGTCTAAATTGCACAAAACAGGTGACATTCTTTAGTGCTGGATTTTTGCTGGTTTATGCAATTAAAATAAACACTTTATCTGTTTGTATTGTTTAGATATTGCCTAATCAAAACACTTTGGGAGCCGCGACGTAACTCTATATTGCACCAAACAGGTGTCATTCAGTTGTGCTGGTTGTGCCGTTAATAAACACTTTATCTGTTTTCCTTGTTTGGATTTAACCAAAATATTTGGTTAGATTTGTGCTGGTTTGTGCCATGAAAATGAACAACAGATATTTATATTTGTGCACATATGTTACTTTCGTTTGCTCACAAATTGTGCTCGTTTGTGCTGCAAAAATATTATGTGTAAAAAAAATAATATCAGATCATTAAGAGGTCTCTCCACCCCAGTTGCTACATATTTACTAAAATAGTCTCATTTGTGTTATGACATATTTAAAAAATTGCAAATATATGACAGAAGATTGTGATACAATATGAGGCATATTAAATTCATAGGCCTACTTTCCACTGACTGGAAATCATCCACCCGCACAGTTGGCCTCAAATTAAAATATAATTCGGATATTTTTTTTGGAAAAAAATATCTTTTTGAAACAAATTTCGCATATAGTTTGTCTCTTTAAAAGCCGCTTTTCCAATCGTTCGGACCCTTTTGTATGCTGAACTGTTAGGCTCACATTCCGTGCTAAACCAGGCAAGACAGCAAATCAATTTTATTTGGAGGGAAAATGACCAAAATTTAACGTGATAAATGAAAATGATTGGAGGGGAAATAAATGTATCAAAAATTTTATACATTACAGAAAAATAAACAATGATAATAAAACAATAATAGTGCATTTGTATTATAGTGGCAGAAATATATTTTTTGACAGGCCTTGGGCAAAGTAAGCGTGCACTTTCACTAATAAAAAATATAGCACTTAAATTATTTCATTTTTAACAATCAATAAATTACACAGAGGTTTTATATCAAAAGTTGATAAAAATATAAAATATACATTTTGTTGGTAAAATAACCATTTAAACAATGGCTGCTATTTATTTTAGTATTCAAACATTAAATACCGATTTTTTTCAAGTTGAATAAAAATGAAAATGAAACAACAGCATATCAGGATGTAAAGCATATTCATATTAAAGCAATTCCTGGTTGAGATTTTAGAAAATATAGCTACCCAGTATATATTAAAGATCACAGAGAAATTACATGTCCCCAAAAATGTCCAGCTTATATTTAACTGAATTGTATAAATATTAAAAATTGCTCATTTTGTTTTTATTAAACATTTGTTATTTTTTATTAGCAAAAACAATATCAACATTTAAGAATCTATATTTCATTCATTCATTCATTCATTCATTCATTCATTCATTCATTCATTCATTCATTCATTCGACTTGTTTATTGGTGCATATATAGGCTATAATTTAAATTATACAACAGTACCTTGGACAGCTACAGTGCCACTAAAGCTTTCAAACAAAAGTCCAAAAAATTAAAGTTTTAAAGTTTAAATTAATTTTCTCCGGTGACGGCCGACATCACAACACGCCGTATAACCGTCCTTCTGGTGGTAGCCTATAGCCGGCATTAAATTACAAAACAAGCTGTCTGGGCCTTGAATTAAAAAAGTTTAATTATTTCCTCATTGTTTAAAGAGTCTACAAGTTATTAAATATAAAATAAATATAATAATATTAATAATAATGACAATAATAAGAAGATAACTAAGGATAACTAAAATGTGACAAAATATTACATGTTTATCTTTTATTAAACCAAATCAAAATGGTCAAAATAACATCCTACAGCCCGTGATAAAAACGCACAGTGTTTACCAATTAAGTGAATGTAAATATTTTATATGATTGTTGTTATTGTTATCATTATTATTATTAATTGTAATTAATTAATCAATTATTTATTGTTATTTTATTGCCATTTGGACATTGTTCTTTTACTGTATGACAAACAACACAATCACGAAAACCAAAACTTATCTGTAGAAAACGCAGAGCCTATGTGTTTGCATGTGTTATAATCTATTTTTCCCCATAAAATAAATATTGACTAAATAAGTCCACTAAAGCTGCTTTACTTAATCATAAGTGGTAGGCCTACCTACCACAACAGAAAAGTTTAGGCTGCTAGTTTAAATACGAAAGCAGCCTAATATGGACGACCAGATGATAAGAGTATTTAAGAGAAAATCGCTGCATGGTTAAACAGGTAAAACAAAATGTATATTAATACATTTTTATAAAATTAATAAATAAAATTAATAAAAATTATTTATATTTTTTTGAAATTATTTTTTTCCCCTATCGTTAAGCATGCTGGCTACTCATATGAGACTAAAACGAAGTAGATAAGTAGCAGGGTTGTAGCCAATTATCTTTATATTGGCCAAGCCCTTTTACTTGGAATAAATATGTCAAAATTATGTTCGCATCCTTCATGCTTTTTCTAATAATAAAAAGATCTCAGGATAACCTTGGCCTAGGCTATCTAAAAAAAAAAGCATCTTAAACAAAATTTCTATCAGCCCAAACAAATTTAAATATTTTAAAATATGCGGGTAGCTGATATCATTATCTTTCATTCAATATTTTAATAAAAGAAGCAACACTAACGAAACTTTCAGGTACAATCCAGCACAAATGAAACGCACACAAACGAGACTCTTTTAGTAAATATGTAGCAACTGGGGTGGAGAGACCTCTTAATGATCTGATATTATTTTTTTTACACATAATATTTTTGCAGCACAAACGAGCACAATTTGTGAGCAAACGAAAGTAACATATGTGCACAAATATAAATATCTGTTGTTCATTTTCATGGCACAAACCAGCACAAATCTAACCAAATATTTTGGTTAAATCCAAACAAGGAAAACAGATAAAGTGTTTATTAACGGCACAACCAGCACAACTGAATGACACCTGTTTGGTGCAATATAGAGTTACGTCGCGGCTCCCAAAGTGTTTTGATTAGGCAATATCTAAACAATACAAACAGATAAAGTGTTTATTTTAATGGCATAAACCAGCACAAATCCAGCACTAAAGAATGTCACCTGTTTTGTGCATTTTAGAGGAAATAATGGGGCGCTGTGTGACGTTGCGGCTCCCGAAATGTTTTAAGGCAATATCTAATCAATAAACATAGATAAAGTCTTAATTGTTATTGCACAAACCAGCACAAATCCAGCACTAACATATGACACCTGTTTTGTGCAATTTAGAGGAAATAATGGGGCGCTGAATGACATCTCGGCTCCCGAAATGTTTTGATAAGGCAATATCTAATCAATAAAAATAGATAAAGTGTTAATTGTTATTGCACTAACCAGCACAAATCCAGCACTAACATATGACACCTGTTTTGTGCAATTTAGAGGAAATAATGGGGCGCTGAATGACATCGCGGCTCCCGAAATGTTTTGATTAGGCAATATCTAATCAATAAACATAGATAAAGTGTTTATTTTAACGGCACAAACCAGCACAAATCCAGCACTAACATATGACACCTGTTTTGTGCAATTTAAACAACCTGGGGTGGAGAGTGACGTCACGGCTCCCGAAATGTTTTGATAAGGCAATATCTAAACAATAAAAATAGATAAAGTGTTTATTTTAACGGCACAAACCAGCACAAACCGAGCACAAACGAATGATACCAGTTTGGTGTGATTTAGACAACATGGGGTGGAGAATGACGTCACGGCTCCCGAAATATTTTGATTATATCTAAACAACGAAAATAGATAAAGTGTTTATTTTAACGGCACAAACCAGCACAAACCCAGCACAAACGAATGATACCAGTTTTGTGCAATTTGGAGGAAATGGGGTGGAGAGTGACGTCACGGCTCCCGAAATATTTTGCTTATATCTAAAAGAGGAAAACAGATACCGTGTTCGTTTTAACGGCACAAACCAGCACAAACCGAGCACAAACGACCCGTGCTGTTTTGAAGTCAATTGCGCAACATGGGGTGGAGAGTGACGTCACACGGTTAAAAAAGTAATGCTTAATATCTCAGACCCCAAACCAGCACAAACGTTCGTTTTTGCGGCACAAATCAGCACAAACGTAGCACAAACGAATGGCATAGTTTTGGGGATTATTTGTTTTTATGGGGTGCCAACTTCACGGAGGTTCGAACCAGTGACCTTCTTGCTATGAGGCGACAGCACTACCTACTGCGCCACTGTATCACCAATTTACCTTTTAATTTCTTTAAAAAAAAACCTATCAACTAACCAAGAAATGTTTTGTTTTTACCTGTTGCAAACTTTTTTCCACAGCCAGGTAAGTCACAACAGTATGGCTTGTCCCCTGTATGTGCTCTTTCATGTACCTAAAAAAAAAAATAAATAAATAAATAAATAAATAAATAAACATCTTATGGCAATCATGATGTACAGCATTTGTAATGTCCTCTGATCAATTACAAGTTCATTTATTCATTTTCCTTCAGCTTAATTATTTATCAGGGGTCGCCACAGCGGAATGAACCGCCAACTACTCTGGCATATGTTTTACGCAGGGAATGCCCTTCCAGCTGTAACCCAGTTCTGGGAAACACCAATACACTCTCATATCCACACACACACATACACTATGGCCAATTTAGTTCAGCCAGTTCACTTATAGCGCATGTCTTTGGACTGTGGGGGGAAACCGGAGCACCCGGAGGAAACCCACGCCAACACAGAGAGAACATGCAGTCCAAACAGGAATGCCAACTGACCCAGCCTTGACTCGAACCAGCGACCTTCTTGCTGTGAGGCGACAGCGCTAACCACTGAGCCCCGTACCACCTAATTACAAGTTGATGAGTTCAAATACACAAGCTATACCTTAAGATGATTAGCAGTGGTGTAAAGCTTTCCGCATCCGTCATAATTACACCGGAAACATTTCTCCCCGGGCGACTGCACATTACGCCGAATTCCTTGACCCTGAAGAACAATCTGGAGGGACAGAGGAAAAACCTTTATTGGGAAGCTTAGGATTTGTCTATTGAAAACAGTTACATGGTATATGATATGATCACCTGCATCTCCACAACACCTTGAGGATCATTGCTGATCAGCTCAGGGTTTGTGTACGAGTCAATTTCCTCAATCTGCAAGAAAGGAAAAATAATGGGCAATTTTTTTTTTTTTGCCAAACTTTGACCAAAGTGAGCAGGTGATTGTGCTAAAAACTACTTACAATACATAATATGTTGCCGTTTATTATATGTACACCCCTCACAAATCTATCTTTTATATTCATATTTTCAGTAGGAAGCTATACAATATTATATTTGTGCGATTAGTCAAAACTGAAGCCAAATCTGGAGCCTATCTAACAAATAACTTACGATAACGTCCAAAAACTAGTTCACCCATATTGATATGTTATAGAAAAATATAAAATACCAAATATTAAAAAGGCAGTTATCTATATTTTTAAGGTCATTATATAGACCCTTTTTTTCATGATAGACCCTTTTCATTTTGACTAGATTGTGAAAGTCTTTTGCTTTATTCATACCTTGGTCGTGTACTGCTCCAAAGCATTCATTGTTTCCTGGTCAATGGCTGCATCCGTGTGTAAATCTGCTACTGTGCCATTTGCCTGGATGGCCAGAATGGTGTTTGGCTGTGACACCTGAACGGCATGCTGAATATAAGCAGTGGAACCGTCCTCTAACTGCACCGCCTGCAGTGTACTGGGTTCATACACATCTGTAAATGCAATCAAAGCCAAAAGAAAAACGAATAAAGTATGCTCAAAAACATCCTTTGTTTCCTCAAAATGAGTGCTCATTTTTCTGATTTCTCACTCACAATTCTGACTTTCTCGCCTCAAAATATATTTTGTAAAATTTTGAAATTATGACTAATATAAAATATTAATAATAATATTATTTATAATAAATACACTAAAATAATAATCATAAAAATAATTTAAACTGAAACCCTGTAGCTAATTTAGTTGACAAGGTCATGGGAAACACAGTGTTGGATAAAATAACTTGACATTTTTTTCTCTAAAATCTGAGTTCTTGTAAGAGATACAAAAATTAAAGATACCAAAGATTGTAAAAAAAAAAAAAATAATAATAATAATAATAATAATAATAAATACAATAAAATAATAATCATTAAAATAATTCAAACTGAAACCCTGTAGCTAATTTAGTTGACAAGGTCATGGGAAACAGTGTTGGACAAAAAATAACTTGACATTTTTTTTCTCTAAAATCTGAGTTCTTGTTTATGTCAAAAATTAGGTGTATCTGTAACTGAGGCAGAAAAAACAGAGATAAAAAGACACAACTAGCAAGTTTATGCCTCACCAGATTTTGACAGATCTTGCCATACAGTATGTGTGAAAAAAAATTGCAATTACCTTTTAAAAAGGTCATTTAAAAGTCTCAGAATTACAGAAAGACAAGCCAAACTAAACTTGTTTATACTTCTGCCAGTGAATAATAATAATAATAATAATAATAATAATAATAAGTTACTTTTTTTAGCAATTGTGACATTTTTCTCGTAGGTATCTAATAAAAAAAATCAGACTTCTTTTTCCTTGCAACATCACATTTTTCGGTTTTATAGTTTTTATCTTGCTATAAAGTTTTTGTTTGTTTCTGACATGATATTAAAAATATATATATTTATAAAAAAATAACTGCAGCTTCAATTTTTTATTATCTCACAACTTTATCTTGCACCTTTACATTTATCCCACAATTCCACCTTTCATCTCAGAATTGCATGCATTATCTATTTTATTACAATTATTTAGTTTTTTCCTCTGAATTTATAACAATGTTCATACAAAAAAGGCCCTTTTAAAAAAAGTTTGCAGCAGAAAACATGTTCCATAGGATCCCATTCAACATTTTCCACATTCAAACCTTTTGTGGTGTGGTGGATATAGGCAGTAGTTCCATCTTCCAGCTGAACGGTCTGAGCATCCTCCAGTCTCAAACTCTCATTACCAACAACATCACAGACAGAGGAGCCCATCCAGTTGTTTGGCTCATCTAATGTAGGCATAATACAAAAGAGAAGAAATATTTCAATGATTTTAACAGTTAACAAATTATTAAAAGAAAGATCACGTCAGGTAAATCTTACATTATTCCCACATTTAAAGGGGACCTGTTATCTCTGATGTCCCTAGAGAGTGTATGTTAAGTTTCAGCTCAAAATTCCACGACAAATTACTTGAAATTAACTCTTTAAAGCTGCCCCTTTTATGTTTTAATTTAAATTATGCCATTTTGGTGACTGTTGCTTTAAATTCAAATGAGATTGTGTGATTTTTTTCAAAAGAGGGCGGAGCTACAAATGTATGCGTTGGCATTATTATAATATTACAATTATGATTATAAAAATAGAATTAAGGGGCGAGGCAGTGGCGCAGTAGGTAGTGCTGTCGCCTCACAGCAAGAAGGTCGCTGATTTGAACCTCGGCTCAGTTGGCGTTTCTGTGTGGAGTTTGCATGTTCTCCCTGCCTTCGCGTGGGTTTCCTCCGGGTGCTCTGGTTTCCCCCACAGCCCTAAGACATGTGGTACAGGTGAATTGGGCAGGCTAAATTGTCCGTAGTGTATGAGTGTGTGTGTGAATGTGTGTGTGAATGTTTCCCAGAGATGGGTTGCGGCTGGAAGGGCATCCGCTGCATAAAAACTCGCTGAATAAGTTGGCGGTTCATTCCGCTGTGGCGACCCCGGATTAATAAAGGGACTAAGCCAACAAGAAAATGAATGAATGAATTATATAGAATTAATTAATGTTTACTATTAGAGCATGGCTATATTCATACACTGTTGCTACACAACTTTGTTTAAACTCCATATTAAAGTGATTTTGGCAAAATCTGAGCTCTTTAATACAAAAGTCTCAAACTCAATTCCCGAAGGGCCACAGCTCTGCACGGTTTTGCTCCAACCCTATCAAACACAGCTGATCCGAATTATGGAGGTGTTCAAAAGAGTCATGAACACCTTCATTAGTTGGATCAGCTGTGTTTGATCCGGGTTGGAGCAAAACTGTGCAGAGCTGCGGCCCTCCAGGAATTGAGTTTGGGACCTATGCTTTAATATATAATACACATTAACATACCTGCTTTTGGAACCGCAATGTGTTGCACATAAGCAGAGGAGCCATCTTCTAACTGGATCACCTGGCCTTCAACTATACTGTTGTCTGACGAAAAGAACCAGTACACACTCAATAACACAACAACTGTAAGCAAACTTGAGATTTTACAATGAAACAACAAGAAATCCACAATTAAAGGTTGTATAAAAAGAATATACCAGAGACTGTAGTGGAATTAAAATAACAATAATAATAGTAAAAATAAAGTATTAATAATTAAGAAGAATTAAATATGCTAAATCCTGAAACCATGTACAGGATTTGGACAATGAACCTGAAACGCCTGGTTTTAGATCAATAATTATTTTGTTTGATGTAGGGCTTTCTTTTGCAGCCAATACAGCATCAATTCGTCTTGGGAATGGCTAGGTGGAAGGCTTCTTTGGGGCTTCTGCACACTTTAACTCTCTCGGATGTGGGAAAGACAGTGAAGGTGGACTCATCAGAGACAGTGGCGTAGTGCAAAATGCGGAGGCCCCCCTGCAGGGTTCACTGACAGGGCCCCCAGTTGGGGGGGTTTGGGGGGAGGGGACAACGCGGGGAAGCGATAACAAATTGAGGAGCGGGGAAGGGAGGCGAGGTGGAGCGACATCGCGGAGAAGCCTTCACAAATTGAGGAGCGATCACAAACTAAGGAGCGATCACAAACTGAGGAGCGGGAAAGGGGGCGGGTGGAGCGACAATGCAGGGAAGCCTTCACAAACTGAGGAGCGATCACAAACCGAAAGCCGTGAGAGCGTCAAAGTAGCCAGAAGTCATTCATTTTTAATGAGAACCGCCGGCGAGGAACAGCGCGGCGCGTCTTCTCCTGTGTGGGCGTCAAGGAGAGTTGAAATCAAGTCAACTTTATGGTAATGAGCTATGACGAGGTTCAGCGGCAAGCAATCAGAATGAAGTAGTCCACCGCTTGAGAGGAGTTCAGAGAATACAGACCTGTGAACTTTGGTTCCGACCAAAGTTGTTCCCAAGAGTTTGATTATTGCGGTTGCCGGATTTTCAATCATTGAAAATCGCAATGATGTCGGGCCCCCAAATCACGCATGGCCCCCCCCGCTGTGTGTGTCCTGCGGGCCCATCTGCTACTCCACTGATCTGAGATCAATGCATGTTTCACATTGTCCACAGCCCAAGATTTTCTCTGCTGGCACCATTAAAACCGGCATTTGGCACTGGTGTAAATGAACAAAGGTTTGGCTATAGCAGCCCAGCCATGTATATTGACCCTGTGGAGCTCCCAACAAACAATTTAGTGTAAATAGGTGCACATTCAACTCTGCAGTGTTTTTTATTATTTTTTATTTTTTTTTGGATGCAATTAGGGTCAGAACCCAGACATGCCTTTCAGACAGCCTTCTCTTGGGTCCACAGTTACTCCTGTTAGATGTGGTTCGTCCTTCTTGGTGGTTTGCTGACATTACCCTGGATACTTTGGTTCTTAATACATCACAGACTTGCTGTCTTGGTCACAGATGCACCAGTGACATGCGCACCAACAATTCGTCCATTTTTGAACTCTGGTAAGTCACATATAATGTTGTATGAATTGTAATATTTTAAGCAAAACTGTGCTATTACTCTGCTAATTAAACATAGGGATGGCTGACGTGAAACTGACGTTTTGACAGTGTCGAGATCCCGAAGCGCAAGTGTTTCAAAATACTGCACCGAAGCATGATCCGAAACACCCAAATCTTGTGACTAAAGTGTTGGGAAACACCTAATCACGTGACTAAAGCGATTCAAAGCATCGATCAGTTTAGAAGCGTTTTGGGACCTGGCGAATTTGCATTTGACTGCCAGGGTCAGAAAAAAATTTCTGTCTCATATGGCTTAGTGGAAGGTGCGTGTGCACGCTGTTACTGTGCTTCAAATGACTTTTGGGTTCGAATCCCGACTTGTACAATTACTCCGAAATCATGATTTTCTGAATTTTAATCATGTTTCTGTTTTATGGTATAGTCTGGATAGGATACAGCTGTGGATACACCATCAATTTAGCATCATTTTTGTAACACTGCAAAACAATAATTAATATTTCCACATAGGGGTGTCACGATTTCGATTTTAAATCGAAATCGATCGAAATTTATGCTCAATTTCGATTATCGAATCAAAAAAATAGAATCGTCGATGCTGCCACGCCCCCATGTCACGTCAGCTTGGCTTGCCAAGCGGGAAAAAAAACAGGCTTGTTGAAGTGCTTGTTGAACTGCAGATACGTTGACAGAACTTAATCCCTCTCCTCTTTCAATGAAGTCGCCGGTGTGTAAGCATTTTGGATTTCCAGTGAGTTATGTTGACAACGTTCGTGTTGTCGACAAAAAAACAAAAAAAAAACACAGTTTTGCCAGCTCTGCTATGTACGTATTACAGACGGTTCGTCCGATAGACAACACCGGCATCGCGATCCTCCGCCCGCCCCCGTTGCAAATCCGCTCGCAAAAAGTACACACTCAGGCCCTGTTTACACTGACATTTTAGAACGACAACGATTTGACATCCACAGTGGCGTGTAGCATTTCTGAGCAGCCCTCCTTCCTCTCTACCTCTGAAAATGCACATCACGTGACCACACAGACACAAACGCACACACAGAAATGCACTCGAGACAGCAGGTCCAGGCAGTCAGAGGATCAGTAGACTGCTTCAATCTTTCACTCACTTGTACTTAGTCATTTTAGCGAACACCTCAGATACTGCTGACTGGTTCCTGTTGGTTGTGCGTCTTTTTTACCGACGCCATTATAACGACACAGATCACTGCCTATTCACGAGTCCCGCAGAAAAAGTGATTGACAGGTGGTAATTATGTGTGTATCTTGCCTTTATTCATTTACTGTATGATTTGTTTATGGGTAAAACAAAGACCATGCAGGTTTGAATGAATTAATTATTCATAATCGAAAATCGAATCGAATCGTGCCTTTTGAATCGAAAATGTAATCGAATCGAGGATTTGGAGGATCATGACACCCTTATTTCCACAGTACTATGATGGTTGAGTTTAGGGTTTGGGTAGACGTTAATAAAATCCAATAAATGGGAAATTTAATGAATAATATAAATATTTCTTGTTAACTTCTGGCCACAACCGTGTCTGATCTAGCAACAACCCTGTTTTATGACCAAAACAAGACACATTTATTCATAGTGTTTGTTCGGATGTCAGACCAATGCTAAAACAAAACGAAACAAGAACAAAGTAGAGCTGCACGATTCTGGCAAAAATGAGAATAGCGATTTTTTTGCTTAAAATAAAGATCACGATTTTCTAAAGATTCTGTATATGTAAAATACAGGTATGGTAAAACAAACATATGGCACAACATCGATATTAATATTATGTGTAGGTCTACTGGTTTTTATAAATAATTCTATTCTATTTATAATTATTCTGATGTTGAATTATTATGTTTGAGATATATGCTTGCAATCTGTCATTTTAGACAAACTTATTCACTGGTAAAATCAGACATTTGCCATTATCAGATTATATTCAACAATATATAGGCTAGAATAGTTATACTGACATTGTAAACATTTATTTTCATGCACAACTGTGGGTTCACTATGAAAGAAAAAACATTTCAAATGCTTGCCGTAATCATAATGCGATACGATCATTTAAATGAAGTGCACACTTTTGGTTTCATTTTGACTGCTAAGCGCTTGTTCATACTTTGCGCACGGCTCCCAAACGATCACTCTGTGCCACAAACAGAATATTATTTACAACTGTATTACCATAAGCAGGTTCTGTTCACTAAAGTTCATTAAGTAGTGCGCGCGTGCCCTCTCTATAACAGCTCACGGTCAGCAGCTCACATCACGTGTGATTTCCATGGCCGCGAAAACATCATTATATGAAGACAAAAATGACATTTTTAGGTGAATTATACCTTATAAATACATTATGTGACTCATTCAACATCATTTGGAGGTGTCAATGTCACTGAGCATTGTGTGTGAAACAGTGAAAAGACTTGTGCAGCCGCTTTTTCTTCTCGCCTGAACTTGAAAATATGATTGACAGAATCGTAGAATTGCTGGATTAAGATCGTCTAGGGGGTCGACTCGAGATCGCGATCTTTTAACAATTAATTGTGAAGCTCTAGAACAAAGCATTACCAACTGTTATTAAAGCATTTCAAAATGGTTTTATTAGCCTGGATTCGAACCCATTATCCCCGCATGGTAGTCAGGAACCCTAACCGCTCCACTAAATCACTTGAAAGTTGATCCTACAAAGTGGGGTTTAATACCTCAATTTGCTCAACTGTTCTTTGCTGAAGCTGTTTCAGTGCAATACATAAAAAATGACCACTAGGTGTCACCATAGAGTGGTGTTTCGAAACATTTCGAAGCTTCGACACATTTGCTTCGATTGTTTCAGGGTTTTATGAAACCTCACTTTGCCTACCATTAATTAAACATTAACACTCTTCCCTTACTGGTGAAATGTGCAATCAATGAAGATTGGCCACCAGGCTGCTCAAATTTATCCATGAAACCTCCAACACTAAATTGCCCAGTGTTTCAGTTTCATTGCCCAACCCTTGCACCTAAATTTATTAACAAGGTCATGATAACACATCTTAGAGTTGAATAAAATAACTTAAAAATGCACCAAAGTAAAGATCTTTTTTTTTTTTTATTTAAGAGTGTGTTGAACTACAAGTAACAAATTGGCTAGTCAATGTTAATTTGATTCTTATACAAGGCGATGCTCAGCTTTAAGGGTCTCAATCTCTCAGTTGTTCAGGATGTTTGTAACAGACGTACCTTGAGGATTGTGAGGTATATATGCAGTGGAGCCGTCTGATAAAGTCACAGCCTGCAAACTGACCGTGTCCATGCTCTGATCACAATCTGAATATTTAAAAAGACAATTAGAGCGGCACAGATGATCAGGAGTGTTGTAATGAACACAATACAGTACAATTCAATTGTCTCCTATGCTGACCAAGATTGCAATAGTGACATGCTGGCAAATTGCAATGAGCACACTTTTCAAAATGTTTTTATTAGAATTTTTATCTGTTTGAGTCTGCAAAGTACATTTAGAAATAAAAATTTTAATTAAAAAATCTAAAAATAAATAAATAAATAAATTCAAGCCAATGTTTTTTGAAAGGTTTATGTAATTTAATTATATAAGGCTAAAAATTCTTTTTTAGAATTTTAATAACATTACTTACAATAGGTTTTTTTTTTAAATTGATGAAAAATATATTAATTTTAACAAAATAAAAATATCAATAATAATTTGAAAGAATAAGCCAGGAAGGAAGGAAAAATATTTGGCCCCACTTTATTTTAAGTGTCCTTAACTACTATGTAGTTACACCAAAATAATAATTCGTTACAATAGACTTATTGTGTAAATACATGTATTTTCTGTGTACTTACACTTGATTAAATACCTTTATGTAAATACATATGTAATTAAATTATGTAACTAAATTTGTAAATATCCTGTTGACCATCCCTTACACCTTAACCCACCCTTAAACCAACCCATACCACCAAACCTGTCCATAATCCTACTCCGATCAACTCAAGAGCACCACAAGTGTTGTCAAATACATTATGAACACGGTAAGTACAATGTATTTATTTTTTGATGCAAGTACATAGTAGTTTAGGACACTTAATATAAAGTGGGACCAAATATTTTTCTATTGGATTAATCAGCAATTATAAATGAATCTCTTAAACAAACAATTCTACTATTAAAGTTTGTTCGATATACCTTTAAGTAAACAGTGAGAACATCAAACCAATAAAGCTAGAAAATATCAGTACTGCATGTCTTTTAAACAGTCAGTTGTCGCCCCCTCCTGTATATTTTGATCATTACCAATCCCAAACTAACATTTTAAAATCACAGTATTCTGTCTGTCACACTAAAATATTCTGTATTAATGTTTAATCATTCTGAGAGAATTGCAATCACAATAAAAAAATACAAATAAATAAATAAATCTAAATCCAAAAGTGATTCTCAATTTTTCCAGAAGAGCACTAGTTGCTCACCTCTTAAAACATGTACAAACGGAGATCATTTTAGAAGTTTAATTGTTATTTGGAAGATTGAATCACTAGACGAAGACTTAATAAAGACTTACTTAATTAATTTAGGTGATTGCTTACTGCTATTTAACAGCCTATTTACCACTTGATGTGCCTGCAGATCATAATTGGCCTAATTAATTATTTACTCCGACTCATTTTTAGCAAGGTAAAGACAAGTACCATAAAAATAGAAAGCGAATGAAATATTAGAACCACTTAAACTTTATTATTTATATTAAAAATAATTTCTATTCATTCCAATCAAAACAATAACTTCTCTGAACGGCTATGCATACATTTCTCATTAATAAAATGCCAGTGTTTGAAAAGTAATGATTCACGGTTTGGTTCTGACCTGCAATCCCCACAGTCTCCGTTAGGCAGAGCGTGACCTCCTGAGAATCATCCTCATGCTGGAAATCTGCTGACTGATTTATCTGAGCCAGCAGCATTATTACCTAGGAGAAATCAAAAGATGGCATCTTAGGAATAAAACATAACAGCATGATCATATTTCACATTTTAGTGGCCATCATACACTTTACCATTATTTACAGAGGACTTAAAAATGATCTTACCATAACTTACAGAAGACTAAGTAGTTTAAATACAGTATCAAAACAAGAATGATCTAATTACAAATTAAAAAAGAAAGTTCAGCTCCAACATACTAATTACACTCATTTGGAATATACCTTTGAAAGCTTACAGACACACACACACATGCGTTCTCCCCGCATCCCACTCCTCTGTGTGCTTATCACACCCGGTATGAGGAGGCGGGTCTGTGACCAGCGCTCTATACCTGTAAGACCAGATGGCTGTTACCTACATCGGACTATCTCCACATCCCCTGTTGCGATGTTATGTCTATGTGGTTATGTGCTTGTTGCTGGGGCATTTTTTTTTCCCCTTGAAAGCACACTGCCCTACTTTAACCCTTTAACAAGCATCATAACCACCTGGTTGACCTTTTATCCATAGGATATCATTATTATTTTAATTGCTTATAACTATTTATCAGAGTTGTGCCAGTATATTATTCAATCCAAGATGTGGGCCAAAAAAATATTTTTAAGTAATGCACTTTAAAGGGTTAAATAGTGGTAATGTTGTTTTGAAGTCAATTGCATGCAATTTTAGACTGATTATTCAATGTACTGTGGTAAATAATATAGGAAGCGCTTTTATTGGAACGACCTTATTGATGATTTTAAATAGTTATAGGTTTAGTCACTCCCCCAAATTTGTTTTGTAACAAATAATGTTCAAGTTTTTAATAATACAATACAAAACAATATTTATAGAGCACATTTTAAAAACAACCAAGGTTGACCAGAGTGCTGTACATGGGAGTTATAATAACAGAGAAGCAGAATAAAAAAAAAAAACATTTAACAGATAAGAGCAATAAAACAGTGATCAAGGAGTATTAAAAGCGAGAGAAAATAGGTCTTTAAAACAGACTTAAACACAGAGACAGAGGGGGAAAGTCTAATGTGAATCGGTAGACTATTCCAGAGTTTAGGACCAGCAACAGCAAACGCTTGATCAACTCGTTTTTTAAGGCGTGTTCTGGGATCATTGAGTATCTCAATGATCGAGAGGGGGTATATGCATAAAGCAAGTCAGTAAGCAACTGAGGAGCAAGCTTATTGACGGCTTTGTAGACGAATAATACAATTTTAAAATCAATTCTGTATTTAATGGGTAACCAGTGAAGTGCAGCTAAGATTGGAGTTACCGACTCATACTTGCGGGTGCCAGAGAGAAGTCTAGCTGCTGCATTTTAAACCAGCAGCAGACGAGAGAGAAATAGCAAAATAAAGAGCGTTACAGTAATTTAGACGTGTTGTTATGAAGGAATGAATCACCGTTTGAACATTTTTCTGGGATAAAAATGGCTTGACTTTAGCCAGTTGTCTGAGGTGGTAAAAGCACTTTTAATATTCTGCCTTCATTTTAGATTTTGTATTGCTTTATTTTTCTTTCTTCCTCTCCTTTCCTTTCTATAACCTTGTTATACTATTTTAAGAGTAATTCATATATCCTTCTTGTAAAATGTATCTCTGTACCACTTGAATGTAAGCAAATGATGAGGAAATTGACATTATTTGGACGAGCTATCTCTTTAAAACGCAGACGTGTAACGTTAGTTTAACTTCCTTCTCAAAAGATTGTCTTGTATCTTATTTTTTTCAACGCCTAGTATTAAAAAAACTGTTAAAACATCTCAAATTTGTGCTTTGTTTAATATTTTGCCTTCATTTTGATTTCCTTTTAACGCTGAAGAAAACATTTAAGTTTCTATATAAACTATATAGATGCTATTTGCTGGAAAATTTCATGTACATAAATGTAAATATACTAAATGTAAACCCATTTAAACTGAAAAATAAGAACTAAAACTATATTTCAATACAATTTCAACGTTTAGTATTAAAAAAGCAGTTAAAACCTCTCAAATTTGTGCTTTTTAAGCTTCTGCATTCATTTTAGATTTTGTATTGCTTTATTTTTCTTTCTTCCTCTCCTTTCCTTTCTATAACCTTGTTATACTATTTTAAGAGTAATTCATATATCATTCTTGTAAAATGTATCTCTGTACCACTTGAATGTAAGCAAATGATGAGGAAATTGACATTATTTGGACGAGCTATCTCTTTAAAACGCAGACGTGTAATGTTAGTTTCACTTCCTTCTTAAAATATTGTCTTGTATCTTATTTTTTTCAACGTCTAGTATTAAAAAAACTGTTAAAACATCTCAAATTTGTGCTTTGTTTAATATTTTGCATTCATTTTGATTTCCTTTTAACGCTGAAGAAAACATTTAAGTTTCTATTTAAACTATATATATGTTATTTGCTGGAAAGTTTCATGTACATAAATGTAAATATATAAAATGTAAACCCATTTAAACTGAAAAATAAAAACCAAAACTATATTTCAATACAATTTCAACGTTTAGTATTAAAAAGGCATTTAAAACCTCTCAAATGTATGCTTTTTTTAATATTCTGCCTTCATTTGAGACTTAATATTGTTTTATTTTTATTTTTTCCTCTCCTTTCCTTTCTATAACCTTGTTATACTATTTTAAGAGTAATTCATATATCCTTCTTGTAAAAACTAATCTCTGTACCACTTTAATGTAAGCAAATGATGAGGAAATTGACATTTTTTGGACGAGCTATCTCTTTAAAACCCAGGCGTGTAACGTTAGTTTCACTTCCTTCTCAAAATATTGTCGTGTATCTTATTTTTTTACGCAGTTTAACAGTTTTTACACTCGTTTAAAATAATGTTTCAGCGTTTATCATGTGTAATATTATGATCTCCGCTAACGTTAGACAGAAATAAATGCTGTAAACAAACCTGCAGCGATATCTAGTTTCACATAACGTTAGATGTAAACAAGATGACAAGACGATGTGTTGCAATTACAGACGCCTTTAGTGTAATGTACACGCATGAATAAATTCGTTATTATTACTGCTAAAGCACAATGTTTTCCGGCGGCTTCCATGTAACGTACTGCAGATCGCTTAATCTATTGGTATATTCGCATATGAATTTAGCGACTGAGACACTTACCTGTCCGATTAGTCCAAATATACCAGAAATAATGCGCAGGATCAAATACGTCTAATGTTTCCATAAATTAAGCTCCATTACATTATGAAATACAACGGTGTGAGTATGTGTGTGTGTTTTGAGTTGATGGTGCGTTTCTTCTGTGGTTTTAATGTCGGTGATAAAGGTCTGTTCTGCCCCCTGCTGTTCAGGAGGAAAAGACAAAAAAGAGGTTTGTTCTTTATATATATATATATATATATATATATAATATATATATATATTATATATATGAAAATCTTTTTTACCCAGAAGGCCAGAGCTGTGAATTGGCTTCTGTTTGGCAAGCCCGCCAATACAGGTATATGGCTGCTAATACAATGGATCGGTTTCTGAGACCCCCCGATTCAAAGCCTTAAAGTTCAGGGCTTAAACCCAAAAGACGACGATATGATGATCAGTATTTGAGTTTAGGATTTACCTGGACAGGACCAGCTGATGAACCACGACCTTTATGTTTGGTTTGTCAAGAAATTTTGGCTAATGACAGCATGAGACCCGCTAAACTTCGACTGTTTTGACTGGGATGGACAGTTCTTGGATCTGTTCTATTCATATTGAACAATCATCCTAGTTTTAAAAACGTTATATTAAAATACTTGTTATTACTCTGTAAATAATTGCACTTTCATGCAAATGAGGATAAAAGTGAGTTAACAGTCTGACATCTGTCTGTGTCTTATATATATATGTGTGTGTGTGTGTGTGTGTGTGTGTGTGTGTGTGTGTGTGTGTGTGCGTGCGTGTTTGGGAGGAGGGGGGCGCCAATGGATAAGTTGTGTCAAAAGGGAGGCCCACTGTCTTAGACTTTGAAAAACCCTGGGGTAGGCTAAATTGTTCATAGTGTATATTGAGTGTTTGTGGATGTTTGCCAGAGATGATGGGTTGCAGCTGGAAGAGCATCCGCTCTGTAAAAATGTGCTGGATGAGTTGGCGGTTCATTCCACTGTGGCGATCTAGGATTAATAAAGGGACTAAGCCAAAAAGAAAATGTATGAATATTTTTCGTGGTCGTGTATTTATTTGCAAACCCTAAGGAAAATCCAACAAGTAAGTACCTCGCATTGGAACATGGATATATTTGATGTCATTCAGATATTGAACAATTAAGCTAAAAAATCAAAATTGATACTGGAACAAATATTCTTAATGATGTACATTGTAAAATATACTTGCAATGCACTGATATGAAGGATTAACTATTCTTTTCAATAGCAGCTGTTGATTAGCCTAGGCCTTAAAAAACAAATTACTTTCTATGATGATGAATGAATCACTATATATTTGTGAAATACTGACCTGGAACTACCCTAACATCTGACAATCTGCCTTGTGCGTCACTCTGTGGGTTACAGTTGGCTTATCCAGTTGATCTAAATGAACATTCCCTTTGTACAAAAGAACAATATGCATCCATTAGGCTATTAAATTACTGGCTTTTGTTTGACAGCCAATCAACAGGCAAGGATTCAGCTGTCATTTCAGAGGCTGATGGATTCAAAAAGCCTTTATATAGAGGATGCATCTTCTTTCTTTATGTAGAGGAGCTAGACATGGATGGCAGACTCTTAATTTTAGTATTTCTGGTTGGTATCATCTCACTTACTGAAGGTTTTTCTTGCACAGAGAACCAGCAGTCTTTTGAGGGCTCCTGCTATGAGTTTGTGACCGTGCGGCTCAGTTTTCTCAGCGCTCAGGCTTGGTGCGAGCAGGACGGCGGACACCTGGCCTTCATCCAGAATGATGAAACCCAGCAGTTTCTACAAAAACACCTGCAGAACGAGCGGGACTGGTGGATTGGACTTGTGTCTACATCTGACAATCGCATCTTGGACACACAAGAAGGTACACTAAAAGACTGTTATTTGCAATTGTAAATAAAACAGAGATATCACGCTCAGATATAAAGGTACAAAATCAGTCTGTGGAAAAAAGTGCATTTTTGTTCCTGACAGGCCCTTAAAGGTGCACTTTAATATCTCAAAAGTACAAATGTGCACAGTTAAAGTCAAAATCATTAGCCCTCTTGTGATGTTCTTTTCCAAATCTCAGAGCAAGGACATTTCCACAGTATTTCCTATAACTTTTTTTCTTCTGGAGAAAGTCTTATTTTTTATTTTGACTAGAATAAAAGCAGTTTATATTTTTATTTTTATTTTTATCTGTTTCAAGAGTTCACACTTAAATGATGATCTATCAAAAGCTTGTTGTTTGGCATGCTGTCCCAGGAGAGAATCCCGAGCTCATGGGAATCTCGAGCCTGGGGCTTCCTCCCGTTCGCAGAGTGAGAGGGGAGCTTGAGCTCGGTGTATCTCAGAACTTCCAGGCTGCTGTAGCTAAGGTAACACATGAGAAAAGGAGCTAGACAAGTGCTTGATTGTTATGCATAATGTAACACACGGACACGGGAAGAATATACAAACTCTTTACAGAAACACCTACCGGCCTGGCGGAACCAGGGCTGGCAGTGTTCTTGCTGTGGGGTTCACAGTGCTAACCACTGGGCCGCCGTGCCGCCCGATTAATGGTAAAGGAGGAGAATTGGGAAGGTTTCTTCCAAACGAAGATAAAGTGGACTGAAAACTGTTTTAATTTATGGTAGCTTAGGGCTCGTATGATTGGAAGATATTGATTAGCTAATACGAGACCAGCCGTGACAAATCATAAGTACGTGATCCTCTCGAAATTAGTTTATAAATAAACCTCACTTTTTAGGATTTTGCAGATATAACAAAGTAATTATACCGAGAAATATAAACAAATATTATTCCCACCCCTAACCTCTAAATAAGCTGAAATTACATTTATCTAAAAGAGGAAAAAAAGAAAATAATAATAATAGTAATAAATTAAAATAATAAAAAAAATAACAAATAAATTACAAAATAAAAAAAATAATTTAAAAAAACACACATGTACAGAATACGCATATGCCTTGATAACCCAATTTTACAAACATTAATCCTCAGGTATTTATACAAGTACTTATTTAGTTTGACAGTTTGTAGAGACACTGACATGCAAATTCTAAATGGGTCCCATGTTTCAGAAAAAGCCCTAGTATTGCCATTTATTGTAAAACTGCTTTTTTTTTCCAAATGGATGAAGCTCATTAAATCTCGCAACCAGTTGTCAAAACTCGGGGGAAATCTTTTGTTTCCATAATAAGAGAATTCAACATCTTGTTAGCTTTTAATTTTTTAAAAACATTTTAAGGTCAATATTATTAGCCCCCTTAAGCGATTGTTTGTTTTTAGTTGTCTACAGAATAAACCATCATTATACAATAACTTGCCTTATCACCCTAACCTGCCTAAATAACCTAGTTAAGCCTTCAAATGTCACTTTAAGCTGAATACTAGGATCTTGAAAAATATACAGTAAATGTTGTACTGTCATCATGGCAAAGAGAAAAGACATCTGTTATTAGAAATTAGTTCTATTATGTTTAGAAATGTGTTGAAAAAAATCTTGTTTTTTTGTTAAACAGAAATTGGGGGGGGGGGGGGGGGGTGGGGATTCTGACTTCTCCTGTACTTCATAGTACCTTAAAGGTAAAACATAAACCTTAAAAGTACAAAAGTGTACCGGTAACACTTTACAATAAGGTTCATTAGTTAATGCATTTAATAACATGAACTAATCACGAACAACACATGTACAGCATTTGTTAATCATAATTGAACATTTACTAATGCATTATTAACATCCAAGTCCATGCTTGTTGACATTAGTTAATGCACCATGAGTTAACATGAACTAACAATGAACAACTGTATTTTCATTAACTAACATTAACTAACATGAACAAATACAGTAGTAGATGTATTGTTCATTGTTTGTTCATGTTAGTAAATGCATTAATTAACATTAACTAATGAACCTTTTTGTGTGACCAGTTCTCCCTAAATGTACTAAAGTCCATGCAAAAGTGTGACAGATTTTGTACCTTTATTTCTGAGTGTGCTAATACACTTTAATACGTAAATATTATGTCAACATGTTACCTGCTGATTCTTTGTAGCTCTTTGAAATGTATTTGTCCTTTTATTTTATCTACGCAATTGGTTTGATCATAGCAGATTATAATGGGAAGTGTGTATTAATAATGATGTCCAGCAAGAGTTTAGGTAATATAAAGGTTTTCATCATTAGACATTTGACAAAAACCTAGAATTTATCTATTTAGTATCTGAAGTCCATACAAAATGTATATATTCTCACAATACATGAAATTAGAGAAAGGCACTGCAAATAATGCAGACCACAATAGAAATGTGTAAGGGCACCCAAAAAAAGTGACAAACCCAGCTGCTTCCTGTTTATATACTATAGTCATTTATATAATTGTGTAATTGTGTAGTTTGTTAATTATTATTAATTATTAGAGCTATAATACTCAAAAAGTAAAGTGCCGTACTGCCATGTTAAATATTCAAATAACTCACCTTTCAGATTTCAACTCTAAAACAACTGGGTCCGTCCCTTTTTATGGTCCCCCCGACACATTTCCGTCATGGCCAGATAAATGAAATGGTGAAATGAACAAATGATGTTTTCTCATGTTGTTAGTGCCTTCCTGCTGCAGCACAGTATTGGGAAACACCCATACACACTCATTTACACATGTACTGGCAATTTTGCTTATTCAATTCAACTATAATAGCGCATGTCTTTGGACTGTGGGAAACCCGAGCACCCACAACAACAAGGGGAGAACATGCAAACTCCACACAGAAATGGCAACTGACCCAGCAGGGACTATCTATCTATCTATCTATCTATCTATCTATCTATCTATCTATCTATCTATCTATCTATCTATCTATCTATCTATCTATCTATCTATCTATCTATCTATCTATTGTTTTATCTATCTATCTATCTATCTATCTATCTATCTATCTATCTATCTATCTATCTATCTATCTATCTATCTATCTATCTATCTATCTATCTATCTATCTATCTATCTATCTATCTATCTATCCATCTATCTATCTATCTATCGTTTTATCTATCTATCTATCTATCTATCTATCTATCTATCTATCTATCTATCTATCTATCTATCTATCTATCTATCTATCTATCTATCTGTCTATCTATCTGTGTGTCTGTCTGTCTGTCTGTCTGTCTATCTATCTATTATTGACTTTTTGAATTTAATCTAAAAATTACAATTACTGTATAATTTTACCTGCGTCATCTTCTCTGTCGTCAGATGGCTCGGTGTGGTTAGATGGTTCAAATGTGATTTACTCAAACTGGTTCAGTGGATCGAGACTTAGCACGGGTTGTGGATTCATCAACACAGACTCCAGATTTCTCTGGAGTACCATGAGCAACTGTAGTCAGGAATTACCCTTCATTTGTGAGTTTGGTAAGTTTCAGGCTTTCTCTCATCATATGGTATGTTGTATATTTATGTATTATAACTATTGGCCATAATAATTAAGTACACTGTTAACAATCTCCTGTATAATCTACAGTAACATTCTGGCAGCAGTTTGCCAGTAACATACTGTAAATCAATTACAGCCAAAATACTGTATTTACAATTATTGCAGCATTTATTAAATTCACATTTACAGAATTGTATCTTTACTGTAAAATTGTATCTTTACTTTAAAATATACAGTAATTTTCACATTGCGACTTTAAAATACAGTAACATACTGCATAACTGTCCTACAGTAGAATACAGTTCATATTACAGTTAAATACTCTGTAATTTACAAAAACATGTTGAATTTTGATGTGTTTCTAGAATTGGGTTACTATCTCTCATGTATGGACAGCACTACCCTGCAGTGTGGCTCAGCCCAGGTGATCGAGGTTGAAGCCAGTTATTTTGGCAGGAGGACGCCACATTATTGCAGGAGAGACAACCTAACCTCTGTGACAGACTCACCGGAGCGTTGCGGCTGGATCAGTGTGCTGGATACAGTAGCAGGTAATTATTCATTAAATGATAGTATGCCCAATGATGAAAAAGTTTCATAATTTACTCAGTAGTAAATACTAAAATAAAGGTTTGTACTGCAAGTGTAATATACAAATAAATTAGAGTTAAAGTATTGTAAAAAATTGTCATACTGTAAAGTTAAAATAGCATTTTTTCATAAAAAGAAGTCAGCAACAGCGCTGGTAGTGTTACCACAAAAATACAATAGAATGTCTAACAGTGTAGTCGGAACAAAAACACTATGGCAGGCAATGGATGCTGATTACCATCACTCTTCAGTTTATCTTCAGTATATCTTCCTTTTGTCTTCAACAGAAGAAAGAAACTCAAACAGGTCTAGAACAAGTCGTGGATGAGTATAATTGAGACAGAATTGTAATTTTTGGTTGAAATATCCTTTTAAGTTTGCATCATAAATATAATAAATATAATATAATTCGCATCATAATATCATAAATAATAACACCTGATACCAGCTCTGTAACATAAAACTACAGCAGTCCTTGTTTTTTAAGGTGCCCCAAGACTAATTAATTGCATACTTTAGACTAGTGTTTGGCGATGCAGTGGCGCAGTAGGTAGCGCTGTCGCCTCACAGCAAGAAGGTCGCTGGTTCGAACCTTGGCTCAGCTGGCGTTTCTGTGTGGAGTTTTCATGTTCTCCCTGCTTTAGCATGGGTTTCCTCTGGGTGCTCCGCTTTCCCCTACAGTCCAAAGACATGCGGTACAGTGAATTGGGTCGGCTAAATTGTCTGGAGTGTGTGTTTATGTGTGTGTGTGTGTGGATGTTTCCCAGAGATGGGTTACGGCTGAAAGGGCATCTGCTGTGTAAAAAACGTGCAGGATAAGTTGGCGGTTCATTCCGCTGTGGCGACCCCGGATTAATAAAGGGACCAAGCCGACAAGAAAATGAATGAGACCAGTGTTTTTCAACCACATTCCTGGAAGACCACCAACACTGCATGTTTTGAATGTCTCCTTGGATGTCCATCACACCCATTACAGGTCTTTCAGTCTCTGCTAATGAGCAGATGATCTGAATCAGGTGTGTTAGGTCAGGGACACATGAGCTGCGTCCCAAATGGCACACTATACACTATGCACTCATGCACTATGTACTTATGCACTTACACACTCAACAGGAAAGTATATGTATGTAGTGTCGTCCCAAATGGCACACTAATGTTTTTTTACTAAGCGGAAATTCAAACCGTTTTCCTGATGACGTTTGACAGTTGCCAAATCAGTGAAATAAACAACAGAATTATCAAATAATACCTGCCGTGAGTATTGCCGCATTCACCATCGGGAGGCGCTATAATCACTCTCGTAGGAGAATTTTGCTTTCACCATCCAAAATAAATAAAGTTATTCAACATGTGCGTCCGATAGCTCCGCCCCTTCCGCTACGTAAGCAGACATGCGGTCGTTGAGTGCGTGAAGTGTCCATCATTACACACTTCATTTTAGCGGCTGACTGAGTGCATCATCCGGGTAATTAAAGTGCACTTATTATTTTAAGAGTTTTCAGTGTGAACACACTACTTACACCATTTATACTACAAAATGGCGTAGAATAGTGCATAAGTATGCGATTTGGGACGCAGCTATGGAAAATGTGCAGAACATGGTTGAGAAGCACTACTATAGATTTTTAAATTGCCTAAAGGGATAGTTGACCCAAAAAATGACATTGATTCATTTTCTTTCAGCTTAGTCCCTTATTTATCAGGGGTCGCCACAGTGGAATGAACCACCAATTATTGCAGCATATGTAATATTCAATTCAATTCAATTCAGCTTTATTTGTATAGCGCTTTAACAATGTAGATTGTGTCAAAGCAGCTTCACATAAATGGTCATAGTAACTGGATCAGGGTAGTTCAGTTTTTAGTGTTTAAGTTCAGTTCAGTGTGGTCTAAAATCATTACTGAGAGTCCAAACACTGAAGAGCAAATTCATCGATTCGTAGCTTTACAGATCCTGAACCATGCAAGCCAGTGGCGACAGCGGAGAGGGAAAAAAAACTTCACCAATAGGAGGGTGAAGAAAAAAAAAACTTGAGAAAACCAGACTCAGTTCGGCACGACCATTTTAATTTCTCCGCTGGCCAAAAGTCTTGTGCAGAGCTGCAGTCTCAGCGTCTGTAGCAGATGCCCATCCAGCCACAACCCAGTACTGGGAAAACAACTCATTCACACACACACACACACACACACACACACAACAACACACAAACACACACACAATGGTCAATATAGTTTGACCGATTCACCTATAGCGCTTGTGTTTGGACTGTGGGGAGCACCCGGAGGAAACTCACACCAACAAGGGAAGAATATGCAAACTCCACAAAGAAATGCCAACTTGCCTAGCTGGGACTCAAACCAGTGACCTTCTTGCTGTGAGGCAACAGTGCTAACCCCTGAGCCACCGTGCCACCCTCCAAAAAATGACAGTTTAATCAAAATTGACTGAATTGATAATAGTAAAGTTTTTATTTTTGCGTGAACTATCCCTTTAAAATCACCACCTCACAAAGAATAAAGATGATTTTATGTGGTGCTTGCAATACGATGCTTAATATTTCAGACTTCTTTCTTTTCAACTGAATGCAGCGCAAACAAAATTAAATCTGAAATGTAAACAGACCTCCTTATTATTATTATTATTATTCCCTGAATGCCAAAGCTGAGTTTTTAAAACGACAGTACATTATTACTGATGCAAAGTAGGACAACAAACCATGCAGGACAAAAAGAGAGTGGCTACTAATGGACCTGCAAATATCTGCTAATTAGCTAAAATGTTTGAACTGTGAACACATATTGAGTAGGCTGTTTGCAGAGTTCATGTACTGCATTAATGTACTTTAGTACTGCTGTCGAAGGGCTTACAGTGACTGTTCTATTCTATGGCTTCATGCCTTGTTAATGTTGTTTGGTCTGGCTGGGGTAATAAATGCTTTTGTTGATGTTTGTTGTCTTTCTCAGAGCTCTGTGATGGACACCAGGTTTGCACGGCTGATGTTTCGTCTTTCGGAGAACCGTGTCCTGCGCTAGGAAGCTACCTGTTGGTGGAATACAATTGCAAAGACAGTGAGAGCTGTTTATATATTGACTCTTTTGTATAGGTCTATTCACTTGCTGTATAAGGGATTCTCCGCCATGGGTAAATAACAAAATAATAAGGTAAATAGCAAAACTGTTTGCACTACAAATCATTGTGTTTACTATAGGCATTGTATAATGAATTAGAAGGGAATGATTTTATGCAAGAAAATAAATAAATCTACACTAAGGCGACGCAGTGGCGCAGTAGGTAGTGCTGTCGCCTCACAGCAAGAAGGTCTCTGGTTTTAGCCTCGGCTGGGTGAGTTGGCGTTTCTGTGTGGAGTTTGCATGTTCTCCCTGTGTACGCATGGGTTTCCTCCGGGTGCTCCGGTTAGGCTAAATTGTCTGTAGTGTGTGTGAATGAGTGTCTATGTGCTTCCCAAGTGAAGGGTTGCAGCTTAAAGGGCATCCGCTCCATAAAAACATAGGCTGGATAAGTTGGCGGTTCATTCCTCTGTGGCGATCCCAGATTAATTAAAGGACTAAGCCAAAAAGAAAATGAATGAATGAATAAAATCTATACCGTCAAAGGTTCGGAAACCTTCTGCCCATGAAGGCTGCATTTATTTGATTAAAAAACAGTACTGTTAAATTGTGAAATGTTACTAGAATTTTAAATAACTGTTTTCTTATTGAATGTTTTTAAAGTCTACAGCATCACATGATCCTTTGGAAATCATTATACAGTAGTTTGATGACTTGTTGCTTTGACTGTCTTTATTACTGTAACGCAGGGGAGTGACACTGACAACAGAAGGTAGGATCCAAATGCAGGTTTATTCAGAATAGTCAGGCAAGCAATGGTCAACACAGGTGCAAACAGATCTATACAGGCAGTCCAGAATTGTAGTCAAACATAGGCGAGGGGTCAGAAGGCAGGCGGCTAAACAGGAGAACTGGATAAACAAGGCTAAGATCAAAACACAGGAAAACAAGACCAGGATAACGCTTTGTAATGTCACCTTACAGATAAACAAGACTCTGAAAACTGGATGGGTTCATGAGTGGCTTATAAGTGGTGAGATATCAGTCTATGACAAGGTTCAGGTGGTGAATGCAATCAGGTTAAATGAATGAGCATGGGTGTCAGGGAGAAGTGCATGTATGAAAATGTAGTCCAGGAAAAGGCGGAAGTGTAGTTCTAAGTGTGTGTTTGTGTGTGAGTGTTTACCAGCGACATCTGGTGGTTGTTCGCTGGTGAACATGACAATTACAAACATGCATTGATTTTAAAAACCTGGAGTGCAGTTGGATCACGGAGAGTTGAAACAGATCTTTTAATCCCAGTTTCTTTGCAAATCCTGTCCTGTGGACACGGTTATATGCATTATTATGGTGGAGAAAACCATACTGTTACACATCACATGGTGGGCCTCACAATGGCTTGAATTTTTGATACTATTCTGTGTTGGGTAAGGCATGATTGAACACCCAAAAAGGGGGGAACAAGCGGAGAAACCGGCAGCTAATCAGTGGTCTAGTCACAAATAACCAATAACACCTGTATTTTCTAGTGATTGGGCCGGAGAGAGGAGGGCTTGACACACAGACTCTACCCACACACACACAGGCACATGATTGCCCAGCACATAAAAATTAATAAATATTTGTGCTTACCTGAAATCGTCGACCCCGTCTTCTTCTTCCCACACAACGAACTTTATTGCATATTCGCTTTAGCATTCAATTTAAAAATAAATAAACTTATTGGGTTTGTATTACACCAACATTCCTGTGGACACACTATACCTACACACATTCCTGTCCAAAGAGATTCCAAAGGTTGATTTGGAACATACTATAGGTGCCCTTTATATCTGTACTTATAAGAAATTAGTCAAAACATGTTTACATCCCAGTTTCACTAAACTAATATATGTATTTTTTTCCCCATAATACAGAATCTCCTCATGTTATCCTGGAAAGAGCTGTGTATCCTCTTTTTATTCCTAAGGTGATCACATTAAAAAGTTCAGTAGATTTTAGTTATAAACAGAACAGTAAAACTGGAACAGTTTCTTCTTTGTTTATTAGATGTAAGCACAATTTATATGAAATCTTTAAGATCCTGTCTAAATGTATTTTGTGATTATGACACTTTTCCTTACTCAAGATATGTTAACTTTCAGCTAGTCAGTTCTATGATGATAGCAAACTGATATTTTTATAATATTTATTTATTGAAAATCCTAAATCCTAATCTAATGGTCTGTATTTATTCATTTTTTATCTGTGGAAAGGAAACGTTATTTAAAAAACGAATTTCTAGATTATGATTTTCTAACTCTTTTGATGTGCTCTGTAAAACAGAGACCTTCCAAAACGCCGGCTGTGAATTGGATATGTTACAGCTCTAACAATTACCAAGACAGTTTGACAGTCACGTAAGTCACACATTTATCTTCTAATACCCTGCAATTGTATATATATTTACAATTACATACAGTTAAACCAGAAGTTTACATAAACTGAATAAAAAGGCACATTTTTTTAAATGTCAGATGTTAAATGTGACTAAACTTTTTCTCTTTAAGGTAAGATAGGATCACCAAAGCTGTTTCTATTTGCTTAATAGCAAAATAATAAGAGAGATTATATATATATATATATATATATATATATATATATATATATATATATATATATATATATATATTTTTTTTTTTTTTTTTTTTTTACTTTTCTTGAAAGTCAAAAGTTTACATACAATAAGATTATTATGCCTCTGAAAAAGAGAGTTTCATTATACACAGTGAAATGAGTCAATACCAACATGTGCTGAAAGGCCACTCAGCAAGGAAGAAGCCATTACTCCAAAAGCATCTTAAAAAGCCAGATTACAATTAACTAAATTACACTGGCAAAAAGATTAATTTTTGTAGACATGTCCTGTGCTCTGATGGAAATAAGATTGAACTGTTTGTTCATAATGACCAGATTTGGAGGACAAAGAGAGAAGCTTACAAGCCTATTCCAATCGTAAAGAATGGGGGCGGCAGCATCATGTTGTGGGGCTGTTTTGCTGCAGGAGGATGCACTTCACAGAATAGATGGCATCATGAAGAAGACATCAGCCAGGAAATTTGGTTATAATGGGTCTTCCAAACAAACCATGACCCTAAGCATACTGCCAAATTGATTAAAGGGTCACACTTTACAATAAGGTTCATTAGTTAATTTTAATTTATGCATTTACTAATATGAACAAACAATGAACATTACATTTACTACGGTATTTGTTCATGTTAGTTAACATTGGTTAATGAAAATACAGTTGTTCATTGTTAGTTCATGTTAACTCATCATGGTGCATTAACCAATGTCAACAAGCATGGACTTGGATGTTAATAATGCTTTAGTAAATGTTCAATTATGATTAATAAATGCTGTACATGTGGTGTTCATCATTAGTTCATATTAGTAAATGCATTAACTAATGAACCTTATTGTAAAGTGTTACCAATTAAAGTGCTTTAGAGACAACAGAGTGAATGTTTTGGAGTGGCCATCACAAAGCCCTGATCTCAACCCAGGAAATTTGTGAGCAGAGTTGAAAAAGCTTGTGCGAGCAAGACAGCCAACAAATTTGACTCAGTTACACCAATTCTTTCAGGAGGAATAGGACAAAACTCCACCAAACTTTTGTGAGAAGCTTGAGGAAGGATACCTAAAGCATTTGACCCAAGTTATGTGGTTTAAAGGCAAAGCTAAAAAAAAATACTAAGGAAATGTAAGTAAACTTTTGACTGTCTAGAAGTTAATAAAAAATATCTTTAAAAAATCTTGTTATTCTGCCATTTTTTGCAAATGTAAATCATTTTAGTAACCCTAACGGATCTAAAGTAGTCAACATTTAGCATGATTTTACATCAGACTTTTTTTTTTTGAATGTCATGTGCCTTTTTTATAGTGTATGTAAACGTCTGGTAAACGTACTGTATGTGTTTTTTTTGTTTGTTTGTTTTTAGCAAACTGCTAAAAATGTACAGATTAATTTAACATAAATAAGTGGATAATTAAAGCATGAAATGGAAATTGGTTGAAATAACAATCATGAAAAATATGCATGTTTTAAGCAATTTTTATATTCATTTTTAGACAATACACAAATAAAGGTATACAGGCTGTCACTGAGGTGGTTCCTTTTTAAAAGAAACAAATTTGGGTCCCACTTTATATTAAGTTGCCTTAACTAATATGTACATACAAAGGAATAAATAGTTGTTACAATGTACTTATTGTGTAAATACATGTATTTACTGTATACATGCCTGATTAAATACCTGTATGTAATTACATCTGAAATTAACTTCTGTAATTACATTTGCAAATACACTGTTGACCATCCCTTACACTTTAACCCACCCTTAAACCTACCCATGCCACCAAACCTGTCCATAACTCTACCCCTATCCCAACTCAAAAGCACCACAAGTGTTCTCAATTACATTATGAACACAGTAAGTACATTGTATTTATTTTTTGATGCAAGTACATAGTAGTTAAGGACACTTAATATAATGTGGGACCCAAATTTGTACCTAAAAGGTCCATATTAATACCTTAAGGGTACATTTTAGTACCTAAAAAGTACAAAAGTGTTTCTCCTAAATTTTTCAGGTACTAATATATACTTTTGAGGTACCAGTATGGACCCCTTAAGTACAAATGTGTACCTTTTAAAAAGGAACCACCCCAGTGACAGCCCGTGTACCTTTATTTTGGATAATTTTTATTTATGAGTTTTAACTTCAGAAGAGTTTTTTTTACTTGGAAGTAATGATATCAAACCTTTATAGAATAAGCAAATGTTAACATTTCAGGTACATACATTACAGTAAATGTAGAGAACCTGAGAATGTTTTACATATATATAATCTGTTGGTGACTTTTCTATTTGCATTTTTTCTTGTAGCCTGCAGGAAAATTTAGATTGGCAGTGTTTATTTTGCTAGTTAGTCTTAAAGAGATAGTCCACCTGAAAATTGAGAAACACTTGTTCCAACCGGTTTGACTTCTTTCCTCTGTTGAACACAAAAGAAGATATTTTAAAGAATTCTGGAAACCTGTAACCATTGGCATCCATATTTGTTTTTCCTACTATGAAAGGCAATGGTTGCATGTTTTCAACACTCTTCATTTTTTCTTTCATATAACAAATAGTTTAAGTTCATTATAATTATCCTGATCTTTATTGGTGTCTTAATTTGTTGGCGACTTTTCTATTTGCATGCTTTCCTAAAGTCTGCAGGACAATGAAATATCACAGAGTTTGCATTGCTAGTGCACATTGTTAGTCTTAAAGGGATAGTTCAACTGAAAATTGAGAAACACTTTTTTTTTGTGTTGAACACAAAAGAAGATATTTTGAAGAATGCTGAAGATCTGTAACCATTAACTTCAATAGTAGGAAAAACAAATATAAAAGTCAAAGATTACAGGTTTTAAGGGTTCTCCAGAATGCCTTATTTTGTGTAAAGAAATTCAGAAAAATTTGGAAACATGAGTGAGTAAATAGTATAATTAATGATTTAATATTAGCAATATTTTTTTTATGACCAAATATGATTTTATTTTTAGTTATCTATAATTATCCTCATCTGGATGCATTTGTATTTTCTTTCAGCTGCTCAAGTTGTGGTGAAACTGATAATCATGATACAATCCAACTGCAATTGCAAAATGCAGACTGCGATGACATTTCATGGTATGTGCAAGATGGCGGTAAATCAAAGCAATCCCGCGTAAGTATAGTCTAAAACACACAGTGAACTTATGTTTAATCTTACTAAAATGCTTAATAAATTTCAGTAACACTGAATAATAGTCCATTGGTTAATGTATTTACTAAAAAACAAACATGACTGGCCTGCCTTTAGTACCGACCTGTCTCCGATTATTTTGAAGTGTAATTACAGGTATGGTTGGGTTTTGGGGGTAAGGAACAGGAATGGGTTATATTTTCAAACAAAAATTAGGTTCCAGGATCAACATAGATATTAATCCAGGATCGCATCAAACTTGGCAAAATCATGACATGCGGAAGGGGAAACAGGTACTTGACTGGCCTGCCTACAGTCCCGACTTGTTTTCATTAGAGAATGTGTGGTGCATTTTGAAGTGCAATTACAGTTATGGTTGAGTTTAGGGGTATGGGAACAGGTATGGATTATATTTTCAAACAAAAATTATGTTCCAGGATCAGTATAAATGTTAATCCAGGACTGCATCGTACTTGGCAAAATCAGGATGTGCGGAAGAGGATAAAGGGAATTGACTGGCCTGCCTACAGTCCCGACCTGTCTCCAATAGAGAATGTGTGGCTTTTTTATTTGCATTTTCCTTACTGTCCCAACTTTTTCAGATTTAAGGTTGTAGATAATGTCAGTAAATACATTAGCTAACATTAACTAATGGACCTTTACTCTAAAGTGTAACCAAAATTTCTTACTTTCCGTTCTTATGCTGTGGTCACACTAGATTTCGAGCATCCCAAAATTTTTCATATAATGCTGTGAAAAGGCGCAGGATTAAACAAGATGATTAGACATTTCAATAAGCGAGCGACTGGTCCATATTTTACATTTCTGCACAGAGACGTCATGTTTTGATTGGTCCCATGCAGACACATGACACAACAGAGTTCACTAAGCTTGAACTTTGCAGAACTTGTCACACAAGCTTGGGTTTCCAGTCTGTCGCATTCACATGCGTATGAATGGAAGTCCATGGGGCGAAATGTGCAGTGTGATCGTGGCTTTAGACTTTACTTTAACCATAATATACTCTGCTTTTAATAACCGTTTTTTTCCAACAACTTTTTTTCTCTTATCTAGAAAGACAGTTCTAAGAGAAACTGCTTACAAAAACGCAACAAGGTGATGAATCCACAAAAAGGAAATAATGAAGATTTTGACATTAAAGCGAACTCGATCAGACCTTTAAAGATGGATCTCCTCGTGTTGGTGTCTTGTGCGTTCATTTCTCATTTTACAAGCTATTCTGTTACAGCTATAAAGTGCCTCTTATAACTCTTTCCCTATGATTTAGGCAAAAAAGGGAGCGCAATTTCATACGGGACGTTTACAATTCAATATTCCTTAATAAAGATGAGCAAAGATGAGGTGAAGAGCGCCGTCAAAGCCCAGCTGAGTCAAATCGGCACATCACTTGACACAGAACAGGTAACAAATAGTCTACCGTAAGAACAAAATGAACAAAACTCTGGACCAGATTTACTTAAAAGAGACTATATTCAGGCCTGTAGCCACCCTGGTGAAATGGGTGCTTCTTTTTTTTCTCAAAAAGTGGACCACCTCATTTTCTATTTAACTATGAAGTTTAAATACTGCATTAGTGACATTAAAGCACTATTTTTTGCTGGATTAGCTTGTTGGGGTCATCATAACCACACATTTGGATGTACTAAAAGCAATTCCTAAAGAGTTTTAAAATAAATAAATCAAGTCAAGTCAAGCTTTATTGTTTTTCTGCTACATGTGTGGACATACAGAAAACGAAATGTTGTGTCTCGCCAGACAACAGTGCTACATAAATGAATCATACAGTAAATACAAACACGACACTGGACATAGGAGCTATTTTAAAAAAGCCATGCATAACTAAAATATACTATAAGATACTTAACTATACACATAAGACAGGCTATACAAGTACTTTTACATATGTCTGAACAATGTTGTGCAGGATATTGTGCAAGAGAGGGATTAAATGTTTTATATTGTGCAAAAGAGGCATTTAAATTGTTTAAATATGAAAACAATATTTATTTTTGCAATACAAATTTATTAAATCACATATCCTAATAAAAAATTCGATATCTGTAAAAAATATAAATTAAAACCTTCCTATAGTCATTTATTATGCAAATAACAAACTGCACAGCACATTCAACTTTCATCAGTCGGAATTTGGAAGCAGAATCTGGCGCAGTGTGAATTCAGAATGGGAAGTTACGCCATGCCAAATTCGGCATCCCAAATTCTGTACTGACAGCCAACATAAGATTCCGCTTGGTCTGTAAAGCCTTCTTCGATTGGATATTTTCACAATTTATTATGGCATAGCAGTCAAAATAGGACACATGAGCTCATGTATATCCCTTTAAGGTTAATCATTGAGTTCTTTAACAAGGACTGCACAATATATAAAGTTGAAGTCAAAGTTATTAGCTCTTTTGTGAATAATTATTGTTGTGCTGGATCATCTACTAAATATTAGTATTTAGAATCTATAAGTTAATGCCTAGTCATTTAGCTTCTTTTAAGAAGAAACATTCTAACAGTTAGAATCAGTTATTTGCCTCATTTAAAAAGAACACCCTACAAGAATACACTTCCAATCCACTCATCCTGTGATCATCTGTAGAAGCATTGTCTGTCAGTTTATTATCTGTTTGTATTTATATTCTATCTCAGATATTATTGTTATGTACATAGAAAACGATAGCTCATTTTATGTACATCTTTTTACATAGTGTCACTCTGTTTCAACATACTCAATGTGGCATGGAATAAAGCAGCATTCTCCCACAATCTCACGTGATGGAAAGAGTTTATCTGTCTGTCTAACTTTGACAAGAGAGACGCCGGAGTGAGGGCAGAACAATTGTTTTTCAAATATTTCTCAAGTGATATTCAATAGAGCAAAGACATTTTAATAGTAATTCTGATAATATTTTTTCTTCTGGAGAAAGTCTTATTTGTTTTATTTCGGCTTGAATAAAAGTAGTTCTTTAAGTTTAAGTTTTTTAAGGTCAGTATTATTAGCCCTCTTAAGCAATATTTTTTTGATAGTCTACAGAACAAAGCCCTGTTGTACAATTAGGACACTACAATAACAATGGTGCAAAAAAAAAAAAAAAAAGAGTAAAATGCCCACACTAAATCTTAGCAAAACATTTTGCATCATTTATTTAATGCAAATGCAATAAGGCTAGTTGCATAAGTGAAGTTTATTGGTAAAAAATATTTGAGAGGATCATGTGCTTATGATTGCTTGCGGCAGATCCCACATTATTCAATTCATGATTCACCAATCAAGAGATTCTTAAGCCACTATAAATACCCTAAGTTCCATATAACAGATATATTCGTTTGGAAGAATCCCCTCTTCCACTCTTACTCCTCCTCCTTTCTTAGATGGGTGGCACGGTGGCTCAGTGGTTAGCACTGTTGCCTTACAGCAAGAATGTCACTGGTTCTAGTCCTTACCAAGCCAGCCGACATTTCTGTGCGGAGTTTACACGTTCTCCCCATGCTCACGTGGGTTTCCCCCGGGTTTCCCCGGTTTCCTTCCACCATCCAAAAAACATGCAACTTAAGTTAATTGACTATATAGGAGCCATATTACTTTTCATTTAATTATAATGTTTATTTGTATACTGATTGGTTTGAGTTTCACAGTGACGTTTTATGTTTTGGTCACGTGGGCATAACTGGCACCTGCTCGAACATATAAAGCGCGTGCACAATCACACAGGTGGAAGGAGAGAAGGAGAGTGGGGTAGCCGTATTTTTTGTTGACCGCAAACAGCCACGCAAACAGCAGCGCAAACAGCCACGCAAACAGCCACGCAAACAGCAGCGCAAACCAAGCAACGCAAAACTGTATCACAACGGCACACGCAACAATCATCACACCAACGCAATAATCGGCACCATACAGGTATTCAAAGACACAAATTGCTGTATTGTTTTTTCATGCTTCAAGTTACATAAAGTCTTTCCATATAACATCTTGGGCTCAGTGTCTCTGTCTAAAGCCACCAGCGCGTCACAAATATAAAGGACCCTCACTGCCTCTCGAGCGACTTATAGGAGGCATCAGGAAGTCGCAATATTTTGTCAACAAAAAACGGCATCTTATCAGGAAAATCATCGCTCGCAAAATCAGCGCAAAGACGAATCAGGAAGACGCCAAGTAAGTGATGCGATTGCAAACCAAATGGGCCACGTCATGTGTTCGTTTTCATAGGACAGATAAGTTTATCTGTGGATATATGTGTGGATGAGGAATCTGGTTGGCATTGGTGCATGTTAAAGTTGTTTGGAATGCAAATCGGATGCGCGAGGTCGCGCGACTTACTTTGGTGTCTGTAGGAAGTCTGCACTTTGCGGCTTGTTTGTGTGATGCCGTGATGTTGTTTGGAAGGAAAATGAACTGCTGTTGAATTGAATCGAATCGTTTGAGCGTGTTCAAACGTTGCATTGTGTTTGGATGTTGTGATTCACTGAACACTGAATCAAAAGAGTCACTATGAGTCAAACTGGTGGTACCCCGTGCTCGCTTGAAGAGATGGGAAAGAAAAGGGAAAGCAAACTCACTCAAAAGGCCTTGCTGAATAAAATTGAGAGATTGCAATGTGAACGTAAACGTGCTGTTGATAAAATCAAAGGGTTGATACCAAGAATGAAAGAATATATGAAACAAAAGGCAAACATCCTTCAAATAAAGCAATGTTTAATGACTTTAAACACAATGTGTGAGAGTGCTGTTAATGCACATGATGAACTTATGCCATTACTTCCTGAGGATGAATTTCTTAAACAAAAGGAATGGTTTTTAAGCATAATGAATTACAGCAGTGTGTTTCAAAACCAAACTGAGCAATGGATCAGTGAAACTGAGCAAACCCAGGGTGTTTCACAGAATGCAACAGAAATGAACGAAAATGTGATTTCTGCAAAATCAAATGAAGTTGAAAATGAGGATGAAATTAATCCACGTGATAGTGTCTCAAACATAAGCTGTAACAAATCATCACTGCCAAAACATTCTTCAACCTCATCTGCACGTTTAAAAGCCCAAGCTGAGTTGGCTGCTTTAGCCATGAAGAAAAAATTATTAGAAGAAAGACATGCACTGGAAGAAGAGGAGGAAAAGTTGCGTAAAAGGAAAGAAAGATTGCAACTGGATGCTGAAATTGCAGGAGAACAGGCAAAACTTGAGGTTCTCAAAACACACAGTACAACAACAAGTGTGATACTGACATCAAATGTTTCAGATGGGATGAACTCTTATGTGGCAAAACAGTCTAAACAACCACTCAATGTTGATGCAGGTGAATTTATTCCATCAGATTCAAATAAGGAGAGATATTTAGGAGCTAAACCCAAAGTCAAGCTTACTCCAGTGTTGGACAATATAACTCCATCAAACATCATTGACCCACCATTTTCGCAAAACCGCCTGAATTCTTTCGACATGCAAGATTCACAAGGACCACATGATTTCAATACAAATATTTTCATGGATTCGGAAACCAAAAATTGTGTTCTTGGTCTCATGAAGAAACAGAATGAGGTAACAACACTGTTGATGCAGCAACAGGGGCTTTCAGCTTTACCAAAAAGAGAAATACCCATATTTGATGGTGACCCACTGAAATACCACTCTTTTATTAGAGCTTTTGAGAATGGTATTGAGAAAAATATAAATGACAACTGTGACCGTTTGTATTTCTTGGAGCAATATACAAGGGGCCATGCTAAAGCACTTGTGGGGAGCTGTCATTATATGAATCCAGATCGAGGATATTTGAAAGCAAAAACTTTGTTGAAGGAACAGTTTGGGGACGAACAGAAAGTGGCCTCTGCTTATATGGACAAAGCCCTTTTATGGTCTCCAATTAAAACCGAGGATGTGAAGGCTCTGCAGGATTTCAGTTTCTTTCTCAGAGGCTGTTGTAATGCAATGGAGGATGTGCAGTATCTTCATGACTTAGACATGCCTTCTAATATGTTGTGTATTATTAAAAAACTTCCATATAAACTCAGAGATCGATGGAGGAGCCAGGTTTGTGAGCTGCAGGAAAGAAATAACCAGAGAGTTAAGTTCAAAGACATTGCTGATTTCATTGAGAAGCAAGTGAAAATACTCACAGATCCGGTGTTTGGTAACATACAAGACACTACATCAGTAAGTGGAAATAAAGGAATGAACAAACTTAAGTCACAATATCGATCAGGAAACAAAGGAATCAGCTTTGCGACCAGTGTGGGCGCTGTGGAAAGTAAATGTCAGTCTGAAAAGAAAAGGAAGGAAATTATAACAACAGATAAGAAAGTGTGTATGTGCTGTGGAGGAGGACACACCCTAGATATGTGTGTACAGCTGGGGAAGATGGTACACGAGAAGAAGATAGGCTTCTTGAGGGAAAATG